CTACCTGAGGTGACAAAGGGAGATGGACCTTTGGGTGCTGGCTCTAGATTGCCCCAGGTGCGACCCCTGGTCCTGCCCAGGGCAGGAGGTGAGAGGCCTGCGGGGGCTCAGGGTGAGGGAGAGGCTGGGGCAGCCAGAGGACTCAGGGGTCCCGGAGGGCTGGGCGGGCTCCCAGGCACCAGCCATGCTCCCTTCCGGTCTCCTGGGACTTCACAAGTCTGGGAGGAGGCGAAGAAAGAAACCCTGCTCCTCCCCCCTCCCCCCTGCCCCCGCCAGCCCGGGCAGTGGGCTCAGGCATGGGCAGGAGCTTCCACCCCAGCCTTGCTCCATTCAGACCACGGCAGACCTGGCAGGAACCCTGGGCAGGGGACTGAGGAGCGCTGGTGGCCGAGCACCAGAAGGGGAGCATGAGGAAGGAGCGAGGCGCCCGCTGGGCTGTGAGGCAGGGGTGCTCCCAAGCCCCCTCTTGGTGGTGCGCTGGGGAGCAGCAGGCAGGGGATCCTCCAGCTTGGACACTTCTCTGACCCTGGAGGGCAGAACTGGGGGAATCCCAGAGAGGGGGCTTGGCGGAGACAAGGCCAGTGCACCCACAAAGCCCCGGTTGCTCCCTGGGCCCCACCCCCTACTGGTGCCTCCTCTCCTGGCCCCTCTGCACCCTCTGAGGCTCAGCCAAGGGGGCTTGGGGGTCCAGATGCAGGGAGGACCCCATTTCCTCAGCAGGACCCCCAGAAGACCCGAGTGGAACCAGGTGTGAACAGGCAGGCATGGGCACGGCCTCTGCCTTCAACTCAGAGCCGCCAGGGCAGCCCCGCCCCCTCCAGCACCTGGGTGCCTGCACACCTGGGCCTGCCTGTACCCCCATGTCCACCTGGCCTGACTTCTGGAGCCCGTGAGTCACTCTCACCTGCCTCCCTGCTCGCCCTGGGGCTGCAGCTATAATTAGCAGGCGCCTCCTCCTCCTCCCCCTCCTCCTCCTGGAGCCTGGGAGAGGGCTGGAGTCTTCCGTCTGCTCTGCTGTGCCCCCAGTAGGGCTGCTGCTTTGTTTAGGTCAGTGACAGGGGCCTTGGGGACAAAGGTGGGCTCTGCCCTGGCGCCCTACAGAAGCTGGTGCTCAGAGCTGCACCCTCCCACCCCCCACGGCAGCTCCGGCTCCTGTTCTGGGGGCCACCCTTGGAAGGCTGAGGGTGCACAGCCTGGAAACTGGATGCAGCTGGAGGGCCCACCCACCCTGCTTCCTGGAACCCCTGGATAAAAAAAAGTTGCTGCCCGGCTGTACTCCAGGCACTAAGTCAAAATTGCTGTAGTGGGAACTGGGCAGAGCAATTTTTTAAAAAGTTTCCTGGGAAACTCTGGGTGGTGGTGGTGGTGGTGGTGGTGGTGGTGGTGGTGGTGGTGGTGGTGGTGTGTGTGTGTGTGTGTGTGTGTGTGTGTGTGTGTGCGCGCGCGCACGCACGCGCACACGGTAGCTGGAGCACTGGCCTCAGTGAAGCTGCGTGAGGGTCCTCCTCTGGAAGCTGTCAATCTTTGGGGGCCGACACATCCAGGGCAAAACAGGGAATCGTGGGGCTGCGTCTCCCCATCCAGGTGAGGGTGCTGCTGGACTGGGTGGGAAGGTCCCCCTGCAGGGAGCCGCGATGGGACAGAGCCGAATTCCATGCAGGAGCCCCCCCTCCCCCCAGTCCTGACATCCTGGGCTGCGTCCACCACTGCTCTGAGGACTGCAGCTCCGGGGAGTGCGGCTGGCAAGACTTGCCTCCATCCATCACATGTTTGATTTTCTGTCGCTGCGAGTTCAGAGGCGCTGGATTGCTCGCGACTCCCACATTCAGCCCCGGAGGGAGCCTCCACAGACGCCCGCCCGCCCTAAGCCACGGCTGGGTCCCCTGTAGTGTCTTGAATCACCCGTGTGCGCGCCGTCATGTGGCCTGCAGGGGGCGCTGAGAAGGCAGGCCTGGGCAGTTGGTCCAGGGGGAAGCGATGCTGCTTTCCAGGTATCCTGAGAGCTTTGCACAGGCACCTCAGCAGCTCTCTAAAGGACACCTTTTGAGGGGGCTAGGCGGCAAAGCCTGGCTTAGACCCAGTCCTCTGCGGCTGCTAGCGTCCTGCTGTGTGATCCCAGGCAGAGGCTCAGCCGCCTACGGGTGATCCTGTAAGATTCCTGAGGGCAGTGTCATAGGATCCCTGCGGGCTGAGGGGTGGTCTTGGCTGCTGCCTGCTGGCTCTGCTCTGTGTTTCTCTCCAAGGAGGGCCCTTGGCTCTGAAGGGAGCCAGCTGGAGGCAGTGGCGGGCGGGTCTGCTCTTCCTGGGTCACAGGGGGAGTGTGGGGTGGTGGGACAGTAGGATGACAGAAAGGGCAGTGGTGTCCATGAACATTTGGGGAAACCAAGGCTGCTTGGGTGGAATGAGAATTGGCCAGCTGCAGATGGGGATTCAAACCTGAGCGTGCTCAGAAATCCTGCCCCGGAAGAGGGGCACTTGGCTAAATCCTCTGCAGGAGTTTGTGACCCGGCGGGGCTGGGCTCTGCTACTGGGGTGGGACATCTTCAGGACCCGTGGGGCTCAGTGCACAGAGGGGAAAGGAGGGGTGACGCGGTAGGACACCTGGTCAGGGCGAACTATCTCCAGGAAGCATCTTTTTGTTTTGTTTGGGGGCTGCATCCAGTGCTTTTGGGAATCACTCTTGGCGGTGCTCAGGGCATCATATAGGATACTGGGGATCAAACCTGCGTCGCCACTTGCTGGGTTAGTATGTGCCTTGCCCTCTGTGTTGTACCCAGGCAGCATCTTGAAAGGGACCCCAGGGCAGAGTAGATGCTATGCAGGTCACTCTTGGTCCCTTGGGCTCTGCTCCTGCCTCCAGGGGATTCTGGGCTGCAGCCTGGACACCCCCCCACCCCCCAGAGGACCTGTTAGGTACTGATCCCCAGGCTTCCAACCTCTTGAATGAATGTGACTTTATAAAATGTGCTCATTTAAAAAAAATCTAACTTTTTGCACTAAAGGAAACATTGTGTTTGGTCTGGTGCTGAGGATCAAACCCAGGGGAAAGCAACTTTGTTTTATTTTGGGTTTTGGGGCACACCTGGGGTTGCTCAATGACTATTCCTGGCTTGGTCACGCAGTGCTAGTTATGGAGCCCAGGTCTGTGGCACCCACAGCAAACGCTCCGCCCGCCAAGCCATCGCCCCCGCCCTAAGTTACAAACTAGACCTGCCCTGTAGAAAGTGGCTGACGGTTGACTGGTGTGTGGGATGGCAAGAGGAAGTCAGTCGTGCCATAAAGGCCGCGAGAAGCACCGCTGCGGGTGCCTGTGTGTTCAGGTCCACTCACATGTGCCTATACCAACGTCCTTCTAGAAGCAGCAACCCGGGCTCCTGTGCGGCGGGGAGCCCAGTTGCAGGGCTCTTGCTCTCCTGGTTACTCTCCCCCAAGCCCTCATGGCCTTCTGACTGGGGGTGGGCATGGGTGGGACGCAGCAACCCTTGGGTGGGGAGGAGCGCTGGTGGTCAGGGCAGGTGGGAATTGCATCCTGGTGGTGCAGGGGATGCACGGATCCCACCTGACAACTGTCCCCACTTGTCTGGACATAGTGCTGGGCAGTGTGTAGATCTTGGCCCCTCTGGGTGTAGCCTTGGCTTTCGGTTGGCTCCTCTGTCCACTTGTGAAGCTGTCAGGTCTCCCTCCCTGGGGCTGGACAACAGGGGAACATGATCTGTGGGGCATCTGGCAGTCAGTGGGGGGGGGTCACTGCAGAGGTTGGGAGGGTCCACACCCCCCTCCCAAGCCTTTATGATCAGAGTAGTCAGCTGAAAGAGAGGTGGCAGGGGCAGGGGTCAGAAAATTCTGATAACCAAGAGAAACTTGGGGGTGAGCAGGCCTCCTGACCACCCTCAGTCACCTTTTGATCCTGTAGAAGTCGCCCTACAGTGTCTGGGCCTTGGGCAAAGCATTGGCTCCCCCTCAGAGCTGGTGTTGGCCGCAGAGCAGCTGTGGTGTTAGGGAGCCCACCTTCGTGATCTCACCCCACAAATGGCCACTCGGTTCCTGTGTCAGCTGGGATCCAGCTCATCAGGAGGATGGGAGGGCAGCCAAGCAACCACCTCTAGCCTCCTGGGTCAGCAGAGTCAGTCTAGGAAGGCTTCCTAGAGGCAGTTACCCCTGGGCTTTGTCCTAGAATATCCTCCATTGACGGCCTTCCTACAAAGCCACTGTTCCACCCCCTGCAAAAGGGTCTCCTCTGGAGTCTGTGAGTGGCCCCGGGCACCCACCAGGGGTGCATTTTGAAGCACAGCTGGACAGTTCTCCCCAGTCTCTGCCACATTCTGGCATGTGCCACGGGGGGAGGGGGGGTATCCTGTGGCCGTTCGAACTCTAGCCTTGCCTTGTGGAACTGACCTGAAGCTCTTGGCTTCCCGGACGAATTTCCCAAGAATCCTGGCTGCCACTGTGGGTGCTCTTTCCTCTGGGCGAGGAGCAGGAGTGGGGGCTGGCTCTGCTGGCTGCCCCTAAACAGAAGCGACCAGTGATCCTGACTGAGCAGCAGCCGAGCGAGGGCAGAGTCATCATGGCAAGGCCCCGTGCCCCTGTTCTCCCAGTGTCACCCCGGGGGGGGGGGGGGGGCTGACAGGGAAGGCGTCCACATCGTTCTTCGTGGGTGGCCAAGCTGGGGACTGTACTTGGCTGACACACATGTGGGTGCTCTCTGGCCTTGGATTCCGGGTATCAGGGGTCCTGGAGGCGGCTGTCACCTGAGCTGGCCCTCGGGGGAGTGAGGTTCAGAAGATGCAGAGGCTGTCTGTCTGTCTGGGCTGGGCTTTACTTTTCATACCAGTTTCTGTGTAATGCAGGCGGTGGGGCTCAGGGTGTGTCCAGGCCCCACAGGCAGGCCTGGTGCTGAGGATGCATTTACTAAACACCCGTCCAGCCCGCACTGTCAGCACATGCCCATGGGCCAGCGGGAGCCAGGCGCATGGTGAGGCCTCCTCTTCCTTCCTTCCCAGGAAACTATGCCCCAGACGTCTGTGGTCTTCTCCAGCATCCTCGGACCCAGCTGTAGTGGACAGGCACATCCCAGCATGGGGGAGCGTGGCGGCGGCGGCGCGGGCAGCTCTGGGGACCTCATCTTCCAAGACGGACGTCTCATCTCTGGGTCCCTGGAGGCTCTGATGGAGCACCTGGCCCCCACCGTGGACTATTACCCCGATGTGAGTGCTGGGGACTGAAGGGGTGTGCCGGGAACCAGGGGAGCTGCTGCAGGGGCCCCAAGAGAGGCCCCCACTGAGCTGGACACAAGAGCAAGGGAGGGGGGTCCCCCTCAGCTGAACCCTCCTTACTTCCTGTGCTGCCTCCCCCACCCCCGGATCCCCTTGCATCTTGAGGAGCCCAGACAGACAATGCCTTTGCGGGCCCACAGAAGCAAGTCCTTGATCCATGTGGGGGTCTGGGCCGGGCCCTCCCGAGGACAAGGAGCCGAGGGGGTGAGGCCAGCTTCCCCCAGCACACACACCCTTCTCTAAGCCTTTCAGCATGGTCCATGAGGCCACCCAGCCTGGTGAAGAGAGGACACGGACCAGGATGGGGACCCTGGTGTAGCAGGGGCGATGGCACCCACAACTAGTGATTGCACAGGAGCTGACATCCCAGGCAGGCTCCAGCCACACAGACCAAGCCCTGACCCCGTGGACCAGATCTAGGGGCAGGCAGTGGGGACCCCGACAGGATCCAGGTGGCGGTGGTGGGGTACTGTGCTCAGACCACAAGCTTCCTTGGGATGCCCACACCAGGCTGGCTTAGCTCCCCGTGGGGCAGGATGGCTGGGTGGGAGGCCCTGGGAGAGCAGAAGGGACGTAAGGTGGGTCTGAGCTGGGCCTCATCCGGTGGGCAGGGCCTAGTGAAGCAGGCAGAGAGCCCCTGGGTGCAGCAGTAGCACTGGGGCCCACCGGGATCCCCATCCGGGTTTTTCACCCTGTCCTGGCTCTTCTCCAGCGGACCTACATCTTCACGTTTCTTCTGAGCTCCCGGGTCTTCATCCCGCCACATGACCTGCTGGCCCGCCTGGGGCAGATCTGCCTGGAGCAGCGACAGCAGCTGGAGGCTGGACCAGAAAAGGTAGAGGCAGCTGGCGGGGCGCTGTCTCGGGGGTGCTGAGGCCGTGCCGGAAGTGACTGCAGAAGGCATGGTGCCCCGCCCCAGGGAAACCTGGTCAGGGCCAGGACCCCCAGATCAAAGAGTGAGGCTTGAGCTGGTGGGAGAGCAGCCAGTCAGTGTGTGTGTGTGGGGGGGGGGGCTGGAAATCTGCCCCCCAGGATGCAGGAGGAGCCTCACCCTCAGCTGGTGCCTGTCTGTCCATGTGGGAGTTGGCGGAGACCCCCAGAGGCCACTTTGTCATCCCTCTGTTCCAGTGAGGCCGTGGGTGGAGGGCCCCTGAGGCCTGGAGGTGGGGGTGCTGGTGCTGAAGAAGGGGTTGGCCCACCTGACAGAACGTGGCTATCTTGTGGGAGGCTGTCCCGCCAAGGCGGGGTCTCCTGCAGAAACCTCTGGACTGTGTCTCAGTCTCCTCTGCGAGGGCCAGACCTGGGGTGCCATGGGGTAGGGGCAGACGCAGACATCGACCCCAGTTCAGGGCGGGGTGTCAAGAAAAGCTGCTGGAGGGGTGAGGGTGGCTGTTGGCTACAGGTCAGCTTGGGGAGGCAGTACAGGCCAGAGAGTGGCCGGGGGGCTCTAGCTTCCTGAGGGTGGGGTGCTGAAGCCCTTGTGAGAGGGGTCAGTCAGGTTCCCTGGGGGCTCGGTGCTGGACTGTGGCCTGGATGAGTGGCTGAGGGGAGCGGGGTGGGCCCTGGTAGAGGCCTTGACCCTGGGCATCTCTCTCGGGGGGCTCGGGGGAGGCTGGTCCCTGGGGTAGAGAGAGGTGGCTCAGAGCAGGCTTTGGTGGGACAGTGGGGACAGGATGAGCACCTCTGGCCTCCCAGGACTGTGCAGTTGGGCTTAAGCAGGGGCATCCACATGCCTCTAAAGGCCCAGTCCGGAGCAAGGAGGCCTCTGTGTGTCTATGTCCCTTCCTGCGAGAATCTCCCCCTTCACATGATGGTTTTGCTCGGGTTTCAAATGAAACTCTGGAGGAGCAAATGAGACTCCACGAAGGGGCAGGTGTTTGAAAATGAATCTGAGAAAGGGCCCCTTCAGGAGAATGTGGATCAGCAAGGATGAGGCCGCGGGGGGTGGCAGCAGGCAGACCTGGGCTGTGGGGGTGTCGCAGACCTGTGGGTGGAGCAGGGAACCACACCCTTGTCGTCTAGTTGCCTGTGCTGTGCTGGTGGGATGGCCTCACTCTCTGTTTCTGGTCACACAGGCCAAGCTGAAAGCCTTCTCGGCCAAGATCGTGCAACTGCTGAAAGAGTGGACGGAAGCCTTCCCCTACGATTTCCAGGATGAGAAGGCCATGGCTGAGCTCAAGGCCATCGCCCACAGGGTCACACAGTGTGACGAGGTGAGCCATCCCTCTTCCCTGGTCCGTGTGTTATAAGTGTGTGTGTGTGTGTGTGTGTGTGTGTGTGTGTGTGTAGGACCAGAGAGAGTACAGTCATAGGGTGTTTGCCTTGCACAAGGCCGATTGGAGTTCAATCCCTTGCTTCCCGTATGGTCCCCCAAGCACTGACAGGGTTGCAGAGCCAGGAATGACCACTGAGCATTGTCGAGTGTGGCCCAAGAATAAAATAAACAAAAACGGGGAGGGAGGAAGGGGAGAAAGGAGAGGAGGGGAGGGGAGGGGAAGGAGACAGAGGGAGAGGAGAAAGAATATGCATGAGCAGTGGAAGGAACCTAGCTGTCCTATCCTGGGCCTTGATGGGCAGAGAGAGGCCTAGTGGGAAGGTGCTGGGGTGTGAAGTCAGAGGCCCGTGCATGCAAAGCCTGTGCCCAACTGTTGAACTGTGTCCCCGGCCTGTCTTCCTGTTTTGCATTTTCTGTTTTGGAGCCGTGTCTTGAAATGCTCAGAGGACCATTTGGTGCTGGGGCTTGCACTTGTGGCTTCCACATGCAAAGCTTATGCTCCAGCCCTGTGAGCCAACTCCCTGGCCTGAGGAAGGCCTCCTGGCTGCCCTCACCCCATAGCTGCCTCTGCCTCCAGGCAAGTCCTATATTTCTGACCAAGATGCCCAGTCGCCCTGCTCAGGCCTGCAACAACTTCCCCATCAGTCGGCCCACAAGCTCTTTCCCTTGGCCCAGGCTGGGCTGCAGAGATGTAGGAAGGGTTGGCAGGTTCCGCGGGGCACGGCCAGCAGATGAGATGGGTCCCTCCAGGAGGGCAGGATTCCTACCAGCTCCTGCCAGCTGGCACCGCCAACATGCTTCTGCATTCCTAGGAGAATGGCACCGTTAAGAAGGCCATCGCCCAAATGATCCAGAGCCTGCTGCTGTCCCTGGCTGCCCGGAGTCAGCTGCAGGAGCTGCGGGACAAGATCCGCTCGCCAGCCGTGGACAAGGGGCCTGTCCTCAAGGCCAAGCCACCAACCACGCAGAAGGACATTCTAGGGGTGTGCTGTGACCCCCTGGTGCTGGCCCAGCAGCTCACGCACATAGAGCTGGTCAGTGCTGCATGCGCCTGGGTGGGGGAGGGTGCTGATCACTGCTCACCTGGGGACAGGGCCGCTTGCTTGCTTCTCCTCTGCGTCACTCAGGGGCAGCGTCGGCATACTAGGGTGCCCTCTACATGGCTCACCTGGGGGTGGAGCCTGCGTGCCACCATGGAGGCTCCTCTATGGCTCCTGGAGCACTCGGGGTCCTGGGACAGCGGGAGCTGGATGGAGAACTGATATGAAGGGAGGGTTGGGGGGGGAGTTCCTGCACCCTGTCGTCCCTCTCACTTGTCTCCTGCACAGGGTGGCACCTTCCAAAAATTTGTCCCCACCCCCCTCCACCCTGCCTCATTTCCCAGACTCCAAGGGTAGACCAGGTGCTCTGATTTGTGGGGGGTGGGATTTGACTGGCAGGCACATGGCTTCTGTGCTGTCCCCTGCCCCAGGAGCGGGTCAGCAGCATTCACCCCGAGGACCTGATGCAGATCGTCAGCCACATGGACTCTCGAGACAAGCACAGGGTGAGGCCCCCTCAGCTGCAGCGTGGTGCCGAGGCCTCGTGAGCCAGGCACCGGCAGAGCCTGTCCCCATGGCCGGCCTTCTGCTACCTGCTCGGGGGGCTCTGGGGAGCCACACAAGGTACATGCTGGGAGGGGGGTCAGCCGAGCGACTGTCCGGCACCGCAGCCCATGGTCTCAGTCCTAGCTCCTCCTCTGGCTGGAGCTCCGATCCTGGGGTGCAGCTGGGGCGGCTGCTGACTCGCTGTGTTCCCCAGTGCCGAGGGGACCTGACCAAGACCTACAGTCTAGAGGCCTATGACAACTGGTTCAACTGCCTCAGCATGCTGGTGGCCACTGAGGTGTGCCGGGTAAGCCTGCCGGGAATGCGGGGTATTGCCCAGGTTATGCTTCTGCCCCCAGACTGAAGTTGAAAAGTAGATGCACCACCCGAGTTCTGAGGGGCCAACCCACCCCACCTCACCTCAGGGTGATGCTTTTGATTTTAGCAGCTACACCTCAGAGGGGTGTGTACACCCATGCACAGTCCCACTGGCGCACGCGGGGTTCTCTTAGCCCTCCTGCATTTCCTGCCTTTGAAGCCCATCCCTGTTCCCTTCCCCTGTCCCCCAGGCCTCCGGGGTTAGGGTGGAGGTGGGTTCACCTGGCTGCCGCATGCAGGTGGTGAAGAAGAAGCACCGGACCCGCATGTTGGAGTTCTTCATTGACGTGGCCCGGGAGTGCTTCAACATTGGAAACTTCAACTCCATGATGGCTATCATCTGTGAGTGTGAGCCGGGCTGTCCCTCACCCCCTTCCTGCACAGGACCCAGCTCCCTCACCCTGATACCTGCTGTCCCCATCCCCACAGCTGGCATGAACCTCAGTCCAGTGGCGCGGCTCAAGAAAACATGGTCCAAGGTCAAGACGGCCAAGTTTGATGTCTTAGAGGTAGGCATAGTCTTATTATTTTTTTTTAGTAGATTTTATTTTTCTTTTTGGGTCACACCCGGCGATGCTCAGGGGTTACTCCTGGCTTTGCACTCAGAAATTACTCCTGGTGGTGCTCAGGGGACGATATGGGATGCAGGGAATTGAACCCGGGTTGGCCGTGTGCAGGGCAAATGCCCTACCTGCTGTGCTATCACTCCAGCTCCCTAGGCATGCAATCCTCCCTCGGGCCCTCTCTCAGGACATGCTCTCTGTGTGCCCTTCTGGGGCATAGCAGCTGGCTGGTCAGTTTGCCCTCCTAACGTGGGTTCATGCTTCTTGATCCGTGTGGATTTGGTCAGACCCAGCATCACTGGAAGTGAGTTCAGGGGTGTGTCTGTGAAGACTTTGACCAGAGTGGGTCCAGGAGTGCCAGGCTGGGTGGTATCGGCAGAGACTGGCCTTTTAGACCCAACTTTGATGGATGGACAGGCAGGGAGCTCCATGACCAGCAGGCAAGATTCCTCTGCAGCCTTGCTCAGACATACGAAAAAATCTGGTTTTGCAGGCTTGTGTGTTTTGTGGAGCTGGTTAGGTTTGGGAAATACAGGATTACTGCACGTTGCAACTCACAGTGAAACCACATAGCCTATATTTTCAGTAATAACCAGCAGGATTCTTTTAAAGCTTTGTGTTTACCTAAACTACAAACACACACACACACACATACACACAATCTTCATACAAGTGGAATCAAACTCATCCACATTTTTTTGCACCAAAAAATTGGCTTTAAATCTGTGACATTTATACAGTGAGACGAGACCCATGGACTGTGACTTTCTACTGTGCCACGCAGTCCCAGACGTGCAAGGCTGACTGGTCCCAGCCCTATGCCTCAGGCATTCCCACCTGCACTCGCCTGGAGAACCAGGCGGATCCCCCACCGGCTGATTAGCATTCTGCCCACAAGTGTGAAAGGGCTACTGCCCTTATGCCCTCTTGTTTGCCCACAGCATCACATGGACCCATCCAGCAACTTCTGTAACTACCGCACGGCCCTGCAGGGGGCCACGCAGAGATCTCAGACAGCCAACAGCAGCCGCGAGAAGATCGTCATCCCCGTGTTCAACCTTTTCGTTAAAGACATCTACTTCCTGCACAAAATCCACACCAACCACTTGCCCAATGGGCACATTAACTTCAAGGTAATCAGCCCCTTGTCGTGAGGTGGGGGGGGGGGGTGACTGTCTCAGCCTAGGTAGCAGAAACCTTTGTACCTTGAAAACTGTGGGTGGGCAGCTGGTTCTGTAAGATTGGTTGGTTCTGGGTTGGCCCTTGGTGAATGGGGAGTATGGTGTAGGGTATTTCCAAGGATGACCTGGTTAGAGCTTGGAGCTACAGGGAACCTGTGTGTACCCAGGACCCTCACCCCAACACTGACCCTGCCAGGGAAAGAGAAGGGACCACCCTCTGAGGTGTGTGTGTGTGTGTGTGTGTGTGTGTGTGTGTGTGTGTGTTGCGGAATTAAAAGCAGGAGGAGGCAGTAGAATTCAGATGGAAGTAAAGTCCCGGTGATAGGCCCCTGGTCATTGTGGGAAGGTAGGACAGAGGTGACCAAGGCGTAGGGGATCCAGGCTGACTGGACACCGCATCACCCAAGGAAGGGTGAAGAGGGAATTGTGATTCCTACCTACACAGGCCCCCAAGCTGGGGGCAACATTCTAATGGTGGGGCTGCAGAAGGGATGACTGAGCAGCAGGGCCTGAGAACCCCTGCTGGACCTGGCCACACAAGGTACTTCCAGAGCAGCAAAGTCAGATGCACCATGAGACTCATCCATGCTGGGATGGGGTGAGCCACAGGCTGAGCCCAGAGCTACTAGCTCCCATGCTGACAAAGGATTTTAGGCTGAAGGTGAAAAAGGAATGTCCATCCATGCGGTCTTCTGCCTTTTCAGAAATTTTGGGAGATCTCCCGACAGATCCACGAGTTCATGACATGGACCCAGGTCGAGTGTCCTTTCGAGAAAGACAAGAAGATTCAGAGTTACCTGCTCACAGCGCCCATCTACAGCGAGGAAGGTGAGGGCTGCTTCTACTTCTGGGGGACAGAGCAGCACCCTTTCCTGTGTCCAGAACCTTCTCTATTGGGGTCACCCTGGGTGGCAAGCCAGGACTCATTCTCTTGTGCTCTGTGTGTGTGTGTGTGTGTTGCTCTGTTCTGAGGGTGGGTGACATAGCAAGTGAAGGTTATGGACAAGAGCTCAGGTGGCAGAGGCCATTTGAGAAAGACAGAAGTGGGGGTGGGGAGGAGGCAGTGCTGCTAAGCCCCCAGACCTCTGAGTCTCCAGGGGGTTACTGGGAGTTCTAGACCTGATGGAGCTGTGGACAAGCCCAGGCCAGAAGCTAGTGGATTCTTGGTCTGGGAGTTTCTTCGTGGACCTAGCTACACTTAAGAAGGAAGGTATCAGGAATGGTAATCTGTGTGTGTGTGTGTGTGTGTGTGTGTGTGTGTGTGTGTGTGTGTTTGGGCAGGGGTGGGCAGCCTTGAGATGGGGGCACAGGCAGACTGGCCACATGCAGGTTCTTAGGGCTTCCTGTCTCCCAGCTCTCTTCATCGCCTCCTTTGAGAGTGAAGGTCCCGAGAACCACATGGAAAAGGACAGCTGGAAGACGCTCAGGTAGGAGTCCAGGGATGGTGAACCCCAGCCCTAGGGAAGGAAGGGAAGAGATCGAGGGAGGCGTGATGGGGCTGTGAGAGTGCAAAGGGTCAGGCACTTGTCTTGCAGGTAGCCGACCCCAGTTGTATCATTGGTACCACATTTGGTCCCCTGAGTATTGCCAGGAGTCACCCCTGAGCTCCGCTGGGTGTATCCCCTAAAACAAAATCACCCCTGGAACAAAATTAACAGCCAGGGAGAGGAAGCACCAGCCACGCTGTCAGCATGTGGGGTAGGGGGGGTCCCAGACCCAGGCCCTCTCCGGGTGGCCGCCCTGCCCACCTGCCTGACCTTTCCTTCTGCCCCTCCCACTCTAGGACCACGCTCCTCAACAGGGCCTGAGGCGCAGTCGCTGGGACCACACAGGCGCCGTCTCACCGGGACTGACCTGGGCCGCACGCAGGAGGAGGCCTCACTGGTTGGGGTCCATTTTGTATATAACTTTTCTGAAAAATGAAAGTAATTCTTTCACGCATCGACGACCTTTGGCACTGACAAATGATGTTTTGTTTACTTTCAAGAACAGGGCAGGGCCCTGCTTGGGGAAGGGAGGGGGAAAGAGTATCATGGGAGACGGCATCCATGATAACGTCTTATTCCAATGAAATGTAGATTTTTATTTTCTACTTTTGAGATTAACATCTTATGAGTAAAAGTCTTTAAACAATACCCAACCAAAAGCAACGTGAGTCCTACCTGCTTGGCTGCCTTTCCAGCCAGTGTCTCTGATGTCGGGGTTAGTGCCTTAGAGGGTACTGGAGGGCCGGTCTTGTGCTGCTCTAGGCCATGGCCAGCCAGAGGCGCCCGGTGAGCTGGGCTCCGCACTGTGCGGCCAGGAGGTCTCTGTGCAGCATGCTGGAAGTGAACCTTTGAGTCTGGGCTTTCCAAAGTTTACATTTTCATTTTCCTTTATCAGGGATTAATGGGGTCGGGAGGGGCAGGGGGGACAACCGGCAATGTATTTTCTTTCGTGGGAAGATGTCCAGTTGTTTTGGAATGATGTGTTAGTAAGAGAGAAAAATGGAAAATAACATCAAGGTGGTGGGGAGCTGTGGAATTGTCTGTTTTCTGGTTATCACGGGCATACACCCATAAGGGAAGAGAATAAATGCAAGTGGACTTGAGGATGGGGAGGGGTCAAAAGTCATTCTGGAAATGAAAAAAAAATAACTCGTACATCAGTCCTCCAAGTGGCCTGCCCGTTCCCTGCCGTGTGGGGGCCAGGGCTCCCCTTGTGGACTCTGAAACACCGAGTTAGCTGGGCCAGTAACTGCTGGGTCCCCTTGCCTAAAACTGCTCACCATTCCAAGGCACTTCCTACCCCCAAACTTGAGAATGTTCTACTTTTGACTTCCTGGTTGTGGGACAGTGACAGCCCCGGCTCCCTCCCAAGCCAGGGCGGGCATTCCACGCGGACTCTCACTGAAGTGGGAATCAGACTTGGGTTCTGCATGAGCAGAGAGAACCGTGACACACCTGTTTCTCTCCGTGAGCCTGGTTCGAGGTAGCCCGGAGCCGGGGTGCTGTGCAAGGCCAGGTCACTGAGAGGCTAATTCCCAAAGCTCGAAGGGGAGCCTGGAGAGGGCGGGCAAGGCCTCGGGAAGGAGGTGGCTCCGCAGTCTGCTGCTGACGGCACCCTCAGCCCTGGGTGGAGCAAGAATGTTGACACTGTATTGTCACAGTGTGTTTGCACTTTTCAGAAGTTCTAGATAGTACATATTGTATATTGATAGTACATATTGCTTTGTTTATGTATTTGAGATAAAGGCTTAAAATTTGAGAATATATATTTGGAATACGACGCTAGAATCTTTTCTGTCCTGTGTTCAGGAGCCTTCTCGTCAATGTGCACTTCACTGGGTCGTCAGTTCTTCTAGTACCTTCCTGGCATTGTCTCTGTTTGCTACTTTACTTTCCCAATTTGATACACTCCTTAACTCTGATGTTTTGGTATCTGGAGGTGAACTCTGAGTATAAAGCTGTACCATAATGCAGGAGGTCAGTTGTTGGTGTGACTTGATGTACTTGCATCAATAAAAGAACATGTCGCTCCCTTGGTGCTTGCTCTCTTGGCACGGGCTGGGAGGGCGGGTGGTGCAGGGCGGAGGCCAAGACTGTTGGGGAGCCCGGCTGTGCAAAGGAGGAGCAAGGAGGTCTCATCTATGCACTGCATTCAGACTGAGAGCTTTTCAAATAAGAAGTTGTACCAAACATACATCCTAAACCTGTTTTCCTCAGTAAGATCCACAAAGAAGCTAACTGCTTGTGTTGGGCAGTTCTCTAAGTTTGGAAAAAATCTAACTTAGACAAGGGCTGGAGATGTGACTGTGTGGTAGGTAGAGCACATGCCTGGCATACGGGATCCTGAGTACGATCCCCAGCAACTGCAAAACAAAGCGCCTAACTTAGACACTACCGTAAAGGTTGTTTTGGGATCATACCTGGCAGTGCTCAGACGACCATGCACTGCTGGAGACCGAACCCCGGGGCAACCGCATGCAAAGCATGTGGACCAGCCCTTTGAACCATCTCCCCAACCTCAGGATCCTTAAGTGTTTTACTGCAGGACTGTCCAGAACATTTAGTGTCAAGGCAACCCTGGGGGGCTCTTGAAGGCAGGGGGACATAAGGAGCCTCTGTGACATCTGTGAGCAGTTTTCAAACTGCAGTTCTTGATGATGCTTTGTTCAGCTTCTGCACATTCATGGTCAACAAAGAAAAGGGTTGTGGGGGTTGGGATGCGCCTCAGTGGTAGAGCACTTGCGTTGTACAGTCCCCAGCGTGGAAAAAAAGAAAAGCGGGAAAAACCCTGTGGATAGGCACACAAGCGCTTACGGAATTGAAAGAGAGGACCTGGGTCATCCCACCTGTTTATTTCTGGCTTATCCAGGGAGTTGACCTAAAGGGCTGAAGCACATGTCTGACATGAAGAGGCTTGGGTTCAATTCCTGTCACCATATGACCCCCAAGCCAAGCCACGGTGTTCCTGGGGAACTTGAGTCTGGTGAGCCTGAGTGTGGGAGTGGCCCCAGGCCCCCTTCAGCATTGAGACCTCCCCCCAAATAACAATATAAATAAAAACCTAATACCTATCAATGTAATTTTACTATTTATTTTCAAAAAGGAAACCAGGGAACTGTAAAGAAAGCAAGGAACTCTCCCCTCTCTGACAAATATGTACCCCAACATACCCAGGCCTCTGAGGTTTGAATCTTCAGCAACAATGTTTGAGATTAAGATGAACAAATTATGTACTTATCCATTTCTTGTGCAAGTTGGCTGCAAAGAAAGTGCAAAGAAAATCCTCCTGAGATTTGATGGATAAAGTTATGCCAAATTTGAAAATCTAAGTGAAGGCATGAACCTGGAGAGATCATAGACCACAAACTTTCACTTTCAAGTTCACAAGGCAGGTAGAGGGGAAGGAAGTCCTGGGCCTGCCCAAGAAAGTCAATAGGAGCTCCTGTTCAAGTGCACTGGGCAAAGCGTGTAGGTGGGAGCCCAGGAAGCTGGCTTTCCAAGGACCCACCCGTCAGTACAAGAGGGGACCTGGAATACGAAGCTCCACCTTCTCCCAAGGGCATTAAAGACGGTTGGCTTTGAGCCTCTGCACTGAATGAAAATGGGGAAATTTTACCCCACTTCATAATTTGTAACTGAAGTTAGTGGAGTTCACAAAGTTTTGCAGCACAAACTCCACTAGTCAAAAACAAAATGAACAACAACAAAACAAGCTAAGGATTTAACATGGCCCTGAAGCTAGTCCTTAAGTCACTCAGCAGCTTTCTGATCTTGATCCTAGTCTCTCTTGAGTGTCTCCTTACTCGTCTGTTAAATCCACCTAATGGTTTTTAAAAATTCACTTCCAGGAGCTGGAGCAATAGTACAGAAGATAAGGGTACTTCTCTTGCTGGCAGACGACCTATCATCCCTTGTCCACTGCCAGGAGTGACCCTTGAGCAGAGCCTGGAATAAGCCCTGAGCACTGCCAGTTGTGGGCCCCCCAAACAAAAATTTAAAAAAATTAAAGCTTTTATTTCTAGATTTTTTTCTTTAAAAAATTTTGGTTCTGGAGCCACACCTGGTGATGCTCAGGGATTACTACTTGCTCTTCACTCAGGAATCTCCCCTGGCTATGCTTGGGGGACTATATGGGATGCCAGAGACTGAACCCAGGTTGGTCGTATGGAAGGCAAGTACTCTACTTGCTGCATTATTTTCCTGATTCTTTTTTACCCCCCAAATATATTGTCATAATTAAGATCAAAATTCAGACAAAAATTTCAAAATCTGAAAAACATTAGAAGACAGGGAGAATACACTAAGATTAATATGCTATCGATAGTTATATGAGGAAAGTGAGAGTAAGGTGTAGACAACTCTAATCTCTGAAACTTACATAAAATATAGTAACCTCATAAAATAGCTGAGGATCTCTGAGTGGATAAAAGACCAAGAAATGAGAAAGAATCTCAAGTAGGATCAGAAAAAAATATGCACAAAGACCTATACCAGTAAGAGATTTTGTTTACTGGGCCACGCCCCTGAATGCTCAGGGTTCATTTCTGGCTTTGTACTCAACAAGCACTCCTGGTGGTGCTTGTGGGATCATACCAGTAAGGCACATGCCCTACCCACTGCGCTATTGCTCAGGCCTGAGATAAAGAGATTTTAAAGAAAAAAAGCCACTTCCAAGTAAACTCATCAGCTAAGCTTCACAGACTCACAACTAATCTTGCATGAGAAGCAAGCCAAGCTGCTAAAACATGTGGGTACACCAGCCTCCCGGAGAGCCAGATGGAGAAAGGGGTTCCAGGCTGGGGCCCAAGAGAGAAGAGAGAGAGAGAGGAGTGAACTGGGATGAGAATGGAATAAACGGTGTCTGATCAATCAACCAGCTTTGCCCTTGTCTCCTCCGCCATCTGCCCGTCTGCCCCAGGGCCCAGGCCGCCCCAGCTGGGGGGTGGCCCAGGCCCCCAGAACCTGCGTGACCAGGGGAAGAGCCATCAGGACCACCCCCTGGCCACCCTCGGAGTTTTTTTACACTCTCGGAGCACCCAGCAAGCTACCGAGAGTATCTTGCCTGTACGGCAAAGCCTGGCAAGCTTCCCGTGACGTATTCGATATGCCAAACACAGCAACAAGTGTCATAATGGAGGCATTACCGGGCCCGCTCGAGCAAATCGATGAACAACGGGACGACAGTGCTACAGTGCTACACCAGCCTCCTAGCTGAAAACTCTGGGGTGCTTTTGGGAAATGGGCAGGCCTGGCCCTGCCAAGGCCCTGATAGCCACAGCCACACCCTACAGCTGCCACCATGCCAAGGGCTCAAAACCACTTTTTCATGACTAAACTCTGCAGAGAGGCCAAACCAAAGAGATTTTTAAAGATAGCTAGGGAAATGCAGCTTGATTACCAAACTCAGAGAGCACGAATGTTAAGCCACAGCTCATTTCACAACAGAAGTAAAGCGAGACAGCGGTAGAATAACGGTTCCTATATGATAAAACTTCTCAATCCATCATTCTATAGAACTTTTAAATTTTGAAATATATTTACAAGCTAGTGTAGTTTCCCAGCAGCACACTTTTTAAAAAATTCTCAAGGATAAATCTTGACTCCTACTACATCCTATATTCAAAACTTATTTCCAGATTCATTGATATGTATAAAAGGCAATAAAAATGAAGAATTTAAAATGGAATAAAATTCACTTTGGCGTAGGTAAAGGTTAGGATTGGGCAACAACCATAAAAGAAAATAGATACACTGTAAATTATTAAAATTAAAGTTTCTGAGGGGCAGGAGTGATGGTACAGCAGGTCCCCTGAGCACTGCCCAGAGTAATTCCGGAGTGCAGATCCAGGAGTAACTTCTGAACATCACTGGGTGTGGCCCAAAACTAAACAAAAAAATAAGAATTAAGATTTTGAGAGCTAGCCATCTGGGGAACATAAAGTAACAAAATAGGAGACTAACACCCAAGAATAGCCGACATATGTACCAGGAGGATTAGATGCGTGATGAAAGCAGACTATAGACTGAATATGATTGCCACTCAATGTCTCTTTTGCAAACCACAGCACTCAAAAGGAGAAAGATAACAAAAGGGAATACCCTGCCACAGAGGTAAGGTAGGGTGGGTGGGGGGAGGGATACTGGGATCAGTGGTGGTGGAGAATAGGCACTGGTGGAGGGATGGGTATTTGATCATTGTATAACTGAAACTCAAGCACAAAAATTTGTAAGTCTACAACTGTACCTCATGGTGTTTCACTAATAAAAATTTAAGGAAAAAAAAAGATTTTGAGAGCTAAGGGTTTGGCACAGATGGCTTGTATGCGTATGGCCTTGGGATCAATTCTTTGTCCCCTCAGGCCCCTTTAGCATTACAACAAAAGAATTATGACCCTTTCATAATTCATATTCGATTCATATTTGTAAATCTGATAATGCAAAGGGAAGAAAAGTTCCCTACCTGGGAAAAATATTTGCAGTATGCAAGCCCAACAGAAAACTCACATCTAGAATACAGAAGAAAACTTCCACAAAGCTATTTTTCATGGCAAAATTGTTGACAGGCTTTTCTCAAGCTAGCTAAATAGCCAATAAATATGTTCAACATTTCTCTGACAAACCAAATTAAAACCAGAAACTAAACTAAATTAGCAGAAACACAGCAGAAACTGAGAGGCTGGGGACATGACACAGGTAGGCAGGTTACCTACCTGGCATATTTCTGAGTTTAATCCCAGGCACCGGATGTTTTGCCACACAGTGCCATGCCCTTGGGAGAGAATATTTCACATGCTTAACCAATAAGAAGTGATGTCCTAAAACAAAACAAAAATAAATAGTATCCTCAATATGTAAATATTCTTATTTACATATGGTGCTGGAAACTGAACCCAGTTGAAATATGCCAGGTATGCACCCTAACCACTGTACAATCTCCCTGCCCATGAAAATAAATTGAGATTAACACAGGTGACACTCAAAAACCTAATACCATGGGGTGCAGGGTATAACTAATGGCAGAATGCCTGCCTTGCATGTGTGGGGCTCCCAGTAGTAGCCCTGTTGCTGGGTGAGTCCTAGTGCCACAAGTGCAACCCTGGTGCCCCATTAATAAGAGATATGCGAACACTACAGGTGAGTGCTCCCACCCCACCATCAGTGCACCACAGTAAAGTGTGTGAGCACTGCAACCAAGTGTGTGAACCCTGGACTCCACAAGTATGTCCCTGGGGACAGCAATGATGACATCAAAGGGCAGGGAAGGGAAAAAATATAAAACACAGAATGAATATTACAAAATACACACATCTGGGCTGAAGCAACAGTATGGCGGGTAGGCAATCAACCCAGATTTGAGCTCCAGCACCACATTTGGTCCCCTGAGCACAAAGCCAGGAATATTTCCTGAGCACAGCTGGGTGTGGCCCAAAAGCCAAAGGCAAAAAAGATATAGCCGCAGAACTAGTCAATTTGGAAGACACACACATCATTGGGAAAAACATGAAAAACAAGTTATAGGTACTAAAAAATCAGTACACATCCTTCACCATCTCATATCTGGATCTAGTAACTGACTATAAGTAAATGAATATGACGGTAGTGGTGGTGAAGGGTCATACAGAGGTTTCTAACGGTGATGTTCTAGATCTTAACCTGGTGCCTGGCACATTACTATTTGATTTATTATTCCTTAATATTCACAATTACATGCTACACACCTTAATGATATTTCACGACAAAAAGAAGTTCATCACATTTTCTTTAACTTTGGTAATAAAATACTTTATTGGTACCATTTAATGTCAAAAACAATGTTTCCATTGCTCACTTCCCTCTTTAAATTAAAAGCTAGCATTAGAAATAACAGGAGAAAAGGAAAAGACAAGTTCATTTCTGCCAGAAAGCAAGCCGCAATATACCTTTCATGTAATTAATTTTTCATTTTAAACATCAATATTCACTAGACTCCACAATAAATAACCATATAAAAAGAGACACTGGCCTGAAACATTTTACACATCTTTAAAAAAATCTAAATACAACCCCAAGTTTATAACTTTACGAATTAGTTAAGAGTTACTGTAAAATCGAGTTCATGTAGCACCAAGAAATCTGGAATTTATAATACTTTCAGCAATTGATTTACCGAGCTAAAAGAGTTAATAATCTTTCTTCTGTGAGTTTTTTTTTGGGGGGTTTGGATAATACTTATGTACAATAATTCAATATAGATCCCTTTCAAAAGTCAAAGAATGTCTGCATGCTTTAATCTTATTTCCAATTTCTGGACTTAGTAATTGACCCTATCTATGGTAAAAGATCCACGTGTAATAAATAACAGAATTTTATTTGAATAGAATTTATTTATCTTGTACCTAGATCCTATCTCACTGAAAACATCTGCAAGTAGCATACTTCTCTAAAATATTCTGTAATTCAGATTTTCACCCAGATCTTCCTCTATTCTTTTCTCATATCACATGATGGTATGGTATGCCTCAGTATTTTTCTCCTTGGGCCAAACTCTCAACTCAAAATATTTTAATGATGCAAAAACATAATAAAAAAAACATATGGATCCATGCAAAGTGAAAAAATACAAAGCAGAACACACACACACACACGCACACGCGCGCGCGCACACACACACACACACACACACACACACACACACACACACACACACACACCCATGCTATGCTTAGCTATTTTGAACTACCACAAGACGACCCTGAGGTAGCCCTGGTTCCCGTACACTTTCTCCAGACATCTCTAGTGTACTGTGCTCTAACATAATTAAATGCTCATTTAAAGACATTTCTAGGATTATTTCTTTTTTCAAAATAGTCTACAGCAAATTTGACTAATTCTGAACATGATAAAGTAACAACACATTGTATTTCTAAACAAGTCATAGATCAAAACCTGAAGTATTGTGTTTTTTGATTAAAAAGATATTCTGAACAACATTAAAAGACATTTCTGTCTTCTCAACTGACTGGTATTTCAGATATGACATTTAATTATCTGTACTTCAGTAAACAAGGATTCTTCAAGCAACTGACTAAATATCTTCATAAAAAAACCAAGCAGGTTAGCTCAGTGGTCAGAAGAGGAAAAGCCCTTTTGCATATATTCCATCCATTCCTCTCTGCTAGGAGACACTCCCTGATCAGCTATCAGCAAGATCAACACACTCCATCATGAAGCCCAGAGGCAACAAAGATACATCAAAACATGGGCACCTTGTTAGCACTAACTTAAAACTACTTTTGGAAAGTAGAGAGGAGTAAGATGGAAGGTGCCTGCCACAGAGGCAGGGGGTGGGATGGGGTGGTGGGCGGGAGGGATACTGGGGACGCTGGTGGTGAAAAATGCACAATGGATGGAGGGATGGGTGTTCAATCACTGTATGACTGGAACTCAATTGTATGACTGAAACTCAACCATGAAAGCTTTGTAACTGTATCTCATTGTGACTCAATTAAAAAAAAGAAAAAATGACAGAACCTCCAAAAAAAGGGAAAAAGAACCAAAACACTACCTTTGGAATAGCAGATTTTGATTTGTCAATGATTCCATAGCATTTTATTCTCACAAACAAGCTCTGCATTGAAACCCTTGCTTTCCCCCCCCCCTACCCCATGTCAAGTTAAACTGATGTCAAAATCCATAAAAGATAGGTATGTTTCTGAAAGAGGCACTGCATCTGGAACTGGGATTAAGGCTAAGTAAATAGTGCTGGTTTGTGGTTCAGCGTAAAGTGTCGATTATGTTAACCAGCAGCTTCACTATTTGTTCTGTATGCCTGTTTGTGAAGATGAGTCTCTATCTCCTCCCTGAAGACCAGCATTCCCAGGTGTGAGTGTGATGCCTCATTCATGGCTTTGGACTGGATGCACATGCGGTACTGTTCGGGGGTCAGCTCATCAGCACAGTGCTTCTCATGCCAGAGGTGGAAGAGACCAGGAACTGGAGTCCGAATCACAATCAGTTCTCCGTGTAAGTATTTTCGATAAAGATGAACATCTTCTCCTCCCCATCCTTTTACCTCCATGTCAAATCCACCTGTAGGACCGAAACTGACACTGTAGATAACTGCCTGGAAGGCACAACACAGTCAAATCTGATAAACACTAGAATGTTCTGCTTCAATAAGGTGGCATGTACGTTCCTAAAGACACATGATACAGAGGGTGATGTCCTGGTTTGGAAGTTCATTACCAGCTCACCCAGGAAGTCAAGTTCTGTTGTTGAGAATATCATAATAAGATTAAATATTTTAGAATACTTTATCAACTTCCAAGTTCTATAGGAAGTCAACAGAAAATCAAGTAAAGAAAATGTAAACCACAATCTCACCATTATTTTTTTTATTTATTTATTTTTTAGTATACATGGGGACAAGTTTTTCTGGGTTAAGAAAATATTCCACATGGGGAAACAGAAAGAAACAGCCAAGTTGTAGATAAAAATTTGAGAGTGGATATATATGATTTAAACTGATAGGAATGAAGCAGCTTTAGATGGAAAACAGGACCCATGTCTAAATGCTAAGTACCAACATCTGGAGGTTAAGCAGAGGCAGAGAAATATGTCTTCTTGAAATAAGTAGAAGGTACAAGAGATTAAAGAAAAAATTGAAAACCAAGAAACAGTCCCAGAGGATGGAAAAAATTCTAGAGCATGTGCTATCGCAGTAGTCCAAAGAATATTCCAGGGAGATAGTTCAAATGGCTGGATGTATGTAGGAGATCTGAGTTTGATCCCTAACACCATAGGGTTTCCAGTGCATTGTCAGGAGTAGCCCCCAAACACTATTGGATGTGACCCCAAAACTAAAACAAGAACATGTCTTGAGGAAGAAGTGATTAAGTGTGGACTGCTCAATCAAGAACTTACAAAGAATCAAGTATATCTGGCAACATGTCACTTTTAACCTTTCCTAAAAAAAAAAAAATTCTGGTAGTGTGATGAGCAGGTTAACTACAGTAGGCAGACATGTGAAGTAGAGGATAAATTTGATACTATTTTCAAAATGACTTAAGCTGAGTAATAACTAACAGTTAAAGGAACAACAAACCATGTGGAGTTTTTTAGGAAAGCCTAAAAACAAATTCTTCAAAACCGAGCAAAAAAACAGTTAAGAGCTAGATTTCCAAATCATGACAATAATGCATCAGATCTCTTAAAAATAGTCAATTTTATTAAGTGTTATAGCTCAGAGAGCACAGCAGTAGGGCCTTTGCCTTGCACACAGCCGGCCCGGCTGAGCTGGGTTCGATTCCTCCTCCCCTCTCAGAGAGCCTGGCAAGCTCGCCGGCACTGGCAGAGCCTGGCAAGCTACCTGTGACGTATTTGATAAGCCAGACACAGTAACAACAAGTCTCATAATGGAGACATTACTGGGCCTGCTGGAGCAAATTGATGAACAAATCAATGAACAACGGGAGGACAGTGCTACAGTGTTACAATAGCTCGCAAATTCTGGATTGTAATCTTAGTAAATATGAATGAGCTCTTTAAATACTAGAATGGTGTAGTTACATTAAATTAAATGGAAACCTTGTTTCTAGTTTAGGATATACAGAGTTTAGAAGTGGCCACTTTGTCCTAACAAGTAAAAAGCTGAACAAATGAAAAAACTCTACAAGTCTTTTCAGACACCCAAAGTAAGGCCACAGTAAGGCAAATAGCTACCCCTAAAACTGGAGACACAGATGGCTAAGGGAATCACAACATACCAGGGCACTGCTTGGAGATTACCCTCCACCAAAACAAACACCCACATTCTAAAGGGCTCTAAGTATAGGTGGGGAGCTCACTTAGATTTTTGTGAGTTTCACCTCAATGAATTCTACCATATACTCAAGTGAAGACTACAAAAAAAATACCCCACTGCTTCCTGCAAGAAGAGAAAATTACTTTGGAAAAATGCTAGAGCATTCTGTTGCTCCTAACAAGGCCTGCCTCTGGGGGAAACATTTTTTTTACAAGCTTAACCAGTCTGGTAAAGGGATATGTGACCAAATGCAGTAAATTTCACTTCTGCTATCCTATCTATGCAGTTGTACTTTGAGAAACATTTGAGAAGTTCATGGCTGAGATGCACAAACGTGTTAAGGAACTGAGACCTAATCATAGGACTGTAGAAAGCTTCTTCCCCAGTCCTCCCTTTACCACCTATTTACTGCAGCTTCCTTTACCTAGTAACCCGAGTGCAGCAATGCAGCAACCAAGGAGCACCTGGCAAAAAGCAAACAGTATAGTCTGAAGAGTCATCAAACACCAGAAGGAGATTCTGAGCAATAGCTGAGGAATATTGTAATCACCAGGCTTGGTATGTTAGTCATAGTATGTTGCCATATCTCTAGGTAGAAATGGGTATGGAAGAAAAAGTTAAGTAACATAAATAGAAATTCAAAGAAAGACTCAGGAGAAATGCTAAAAATAGAAACCAATGTAACAGGAATAAATAATAGCTTTGAGAAGCTCACTGGAATCTAGAGGAATAATCTCTGAGTTTGAGGCCATGTCAACAGAAGTCTCTATTTCCAAAACTGAGAAGCCAAGAGAAAGAAAGTGGGGGTGTGGGGGGAGGCAAAATCACCCCTGAAAGCAAAATGCCAAGTGACCCCCAAAAGAACATCTAAGAACAGGATAACCATAAAAGATGTAACATATATAACAAGAGCACTAGAAGGAGAGAAAAGAACAGAAGACCAACAAGAGGCTCAATTCTAAACCAGGGTTGCTGAGAAGGCAGGGATTTCCCTCTAGGTGTGGCATCCAAGCATGCTAGCAAGGGGTTGCAGTCCCTGAGTCCCACCCAGATCTTCCTCATAAAGTACTTGTGCTATGAGTCCACACTCAGCTCTGAGACTCAGGCTGTCCCTAAGAACAAATTACTTCATAAAGATCTTCTGAAAGAAAGGGACTTGGCTTCAAACCAGGTGTGCAGAAGTTCAGGTATAAGTGGATTCTTGAAGAAAGGGATTCTGATGCTAAGCAACTAAAGGAGGACTGGTCGCTTCCCCATCGAAGCAACAAATGTGGGCCAAATAGTTTACCAGAGAGAAAAAGCAAGAGAGCACGCCTGGGGTCCAAACAAATCTCAAAGGTTTGACTCAAAAGAATCCTGCATAAAGGGCTCAATTCATTGGGTCAGGCTCTGGAGCAATTGATGCCCCAGAGCCTTTTCAAAAGCAAGAGAGCAATCAGCAAGCAATCTGTGGAGTCTAACAGGTGGGAATGAAACCAACAGAGGCATGTGAAGCAACAAATCTCACGACTTCCCAGATGACAGTGCACATGGCCCCGTGCGTAACACATTGCTGGGGATGGAGGTGGGGAGATCAAGTCACTAAAATAGTAGAGCCAAGTTGATCGATAAATGAAGAAGCAAAGCAAAGTAAAAAAGCACTGGAGACAGGGGGACAATCAATATTCAGAAATACCACATTACCTAAGATGTCCAGTTTTAAAAAATTTATGAGGTATAGGTAGAAACAAAATGTATGAGCCATACAATAGGTAAAAGCAAGCAACAGACATTCTCTGTGAGTGCCCAGATGTTGGTTTTAATTGGAGATTTCAAAGCAGTCGAATTCTGGAGTTATAAAGTGCTATAATAAAAATTTCATAAAAGTAATTCAACAGTAAATCTGAACTAACAAAGTAAGTCAGAACTTGAAGATAGATCAAGTAAGTATAAGGAGAAGAGAGGAGGTTCAAGAAGATAAAGAAATATGAACAGTCTCAAAGAAATGAGAAATATAATTGCACCAGCATACATCTAATGGGGTAGGAGGAGAAAATGAGAAAGGAGCAGTGAAAAACAACAGGCTAGAAAGCAGCCAAATTAGAAAATGCATTAGTTTTATTTAGTAGTCTTTTTATTATTAGGAATTTCCTGTTGTATAAGAGTTACAATTATAAAAATATATGATTGGGGCTGGAGAGACAGTACAATAGATAGGGTGCTTGCTTCACATGTGGCCAGAAGGTACAAGATTCATTCTGTGGCACCTCATATGATTCCTTGAACCCACTAAGAGTTATCCCTGAGCACAGAGGCAAGAATAGCCTTGAGCACTGCTAGGTCTGGTACCCAAATCTAATCAAATCAAATCAAATCAATCAATAGATGGTGGAGGAATTTTTGAATTTCTGAAACAAATGACCTATTTTAATAATGAAAACGGCACAGATATACCCTATTATAAATAACATAAAATAATTTTATTTATTGTTTGTTTTTGGGCCACACCTGGTGATGTTCAGGGGTTACTCTGGGTCTGCATTGAGGAATCACTCTTGGCGGGCTCGGAGAACCATATGGGATGCTGGGGATGAAACCCAGGTCGACCACATGCAAGACAAATGCCCTACCTGCTGTACTATTGCTCAGGCCCTCATAAAATACATTTTAATAAGCTGTGAAAAAGTGAATGACGTGAACGCTTCAAGACCCTGTTCTTCCTTAAGCATGTATCTTGCTTGCTTGACTTACGTTTCTTTACTTTTTTCCCATTCTGTAGAAGCCCTGTGTTCTCTCTTGAACATGTATTCCTCTCTCACTCCTCCCATGTCTTTGTAAGTGAGCCCTATTCAATAAAAATTACCTTGCTTAACTAAAAAAGAAAAAGATAAAATGAAAGTGGAATGAATGAATGTATAAGGAAACACAGAATCAGATTTCAGTCTGTTTTCTTAAACTATGTTCTGACATTTAATTTTTTTTTCTGGGTAAGACTGCAGCTGGGGCAGGGTGAAGGAGGTTTGGACCAGATTCTTCTTCGAGACTCTTTGGCTCAGAAGGCTGGAGGACTAGGCGGCAACTCCAAGTCCCCCAATACAACCTGAACCAAAGAGAGAGCAACTGATTGCTTATTTGTTTTCAGTATTGGGATTTTACTTGATAGCTCAGTAGGCAATTAAAGGAAATTTTATCTCTAATTAAAAAAACCATAAAGCCCTAAGACGTGATAATACAAGATTACTTCCTGCAATAAAAAAAATCCGTGAGCAAACAACCGAAGCTATCTTTTGTTAAAGAGTACTTTAAATGAAGCAAAATATGGGTAAGTCAACAGGTGCATTAAAACTACTGTTTTGAGTCTTAAACAAGTGAATACTATACTTTTATCTTTATAGCCTCATTTTTGCAAAGAAATTATAAACTCTTGCCTTTCAGATCCTCAGACTCCTCTTTCAGTCAGTTAATCTCAGATGTAATTTAACAGGGAAAAAAATCTAACATGAGAGCCATAGAAAAGTACCTTTAAAATGTTGTGATAATGGGGCTGGAATGATAGTACAGCAGGTTTGCCTTGCACGTGGCTGACCCAGGTTCAATTCCCAGCATCCCATATGGTCCCACGTATACCGCCAGGAGTAATTCCTGAGTGCAAAGCCAAGAGTAACCCCTGTGCATCCCTGGTGTGACCCAAAAAGCCAAAAAGAAGTTGTGATAAGTATGTCAAGTTCTATCCTTACATATTAAGTAAACTTACCAATGGAAAGGAAATCTGATCGATACTGACAAGTCATCCCAAAGCCAAAGTCTCGCCAAAAGCCAGAATCCTTTTTGTGAACCTTAAAAAAAGTAAATAAAAAATTAACCCATCAACAAGTATAAGTAGTTTTAATCAACAAAATTAAAATATTTCCAAATATTTTCTTTTATGTGACTGACAATCACATGTAGCAAAAGATTTTTGCCACTTTCAAAAGACTTTTGCCACTTTCAATGTAACTGAAATCAAGCCAGTGCAAGGCATACACTGAGATGATGATAATCAAAGCAATACCTAACCTCAAGGATTTACATTTTTGGAGGGCAATAGTCACATGAACATATACAATAATTCACTGTGATCAATATGCAGTAGATCTTATCCTTTACACTTCCCTCTTACTGATTTTGGATCTTTTTTCTGGTTGTTGTTAGAGAAGCTCCTTCTACTTATAGTTTCAAACTGATGCTGTACTCTATACAAGTGGACAATTTCATTCCACTTACTATAAGAATTAGTTTACTACCATGCACTGGGAAAGGTAGAGGCCAATGAGCTAAAAGGAGAGCAGCTGTCACTGTCACTGTCCTCCCACTGTTCATCGATTTGCTTGAGCAGGCCCAGTAATGTCTCCATTGGAGACTTTGTTGTTACTGTGCTTGGCATATCGAATACATCACGGGGAGCTTGCCAGGCTCTGCCGTGCGGGCGAGATCCTCGCAGTAGCTTGCCGGGCTCTCCGAGAGGGGTAGAGGAATCGAACCCGGCTTGGCCATGTTGGTTGTGTGCAAGGCAAACGCCCTACCGCTGTGCTATCGCTCCAGCCCTGTAACTTTGGAAATCAAGTTTTTCTTATTCTTCAGAGAAAGTTACTTAAAAAGACACTTGCTTTTTTGAGCTGGCATAGGGCCAGAATCAGCCAATGGCTAACGAAGCTAAACCTGTCCTGAACCTGTCTGTCATTTTGGGGAATACAGTCACTGTATGACCCATACAATGTAAAATATTTCTATGTGGTCCTTTAAAGAATAAGTTTGATAATCCAGGTATAGGGTGCAGAGATCAAGTTTGAAACTGCTGTAGTTCTTTTGATCACAATGGAGACCAAGTTTAAAATCAAGCTCAAGTATAACATGGCCTAGATGATACCAAGCCCCCAGACCAAATAAAAGTTGAAGCATGATAAACCTTATTTATTTATTCATATATCCAACAAGTATTTGTTTATGATATGGATCTGAAGGTGGAAAAAGAGAAGTAAAGAGAAGTGACAAAGTCCCTGACATTATAGACCATCCATTGTCATGGGAAAAATAGCAAATCTATACTTCTCAGGCTCTACATGCCAGGAAAAGAACTAGAGTTGGGTAGGGAGAGAACACAAGAGACAAAAAAAGTCTATTTTGAATGTAACAACTCCATAAGGGTCCGCCTCTCCAAGGTTTATCCTTGGAAGCGGGATTCTGATGGAATGGGGCTATGCAAATACCTGGAGGAGATCTCTCCAGACAAAGTGGACAAGTCTGTACCATAGCTCTGAGGCAGAAACGTGTTTGGAGTGTTTGACAAACAGTAAGAAAATACCTGTGGCAAGAACAAAGAAAGCACAAGAGTAGAGAATGAGGCTCCAGGTTCAAGAAGGGCTAGTCTAGTGATGTCTGGGCCTTCTCGAAGTCAGGATGGGCTACTCCCTCTCCCTCCCTATACTTCCTGAAGCCCTGGCAGTCACTTCCTCACCACAAAGCCACTGCCTTAAGTTGAAAATTTAACTCCAGTGTGTTTCTGTCCCCCAGAGTATATTTTCAGAAGTGGTATTTCTGGGTCAAATGGGAGCTCAATTTCTAGTTGAGGAATGCCCATATTGTTTTCCAAAAAGGCTGAGCCAGTAGGCACTCCCACCAACAATGAATTAGAGTTCCTTTTTCTTTTCTTTTTTTTTTTTTAAAAATTTTTATTACAAATTTTTATTTTTATTATTTTATTTTATTTTTGCTTTTTGGGTCACACCCGGCAAGGCACAGGGGTTCCTCCTGGCTCTGCGCTCAGGAATTACCCCTGGAGGTGCTCAGGGGACCATATGGGATGCTGGGAATTGAACCCGGGTTGGCCACGTGCAAGGCAAACGCCCTACCCGCTGTGCTATTGCTCCAGCCCCTAGAGTTCCTTTTTCACAACATCAGTACCAGCACTGGTTGTTTTTGTTCCTCTGGATATGTGCCAGTTTCTGTGGTGTGAGATGACATCTCATTGTTGTTTTGATTTGCACCTTGCCGATGTTTAGTGATGTAGAGCACTATTTTATGTGCTTTTTGGCCATTTATGTATCTTTGAGAAAATTTCTGTTCTTATTTTCTCCCCATTTTTATGTATCTCATGGTGATTCAAAAAAAAGGATGAGAATAAAGAAGACTGGATATATACATACATAAATACTATTTGGAGAAAGAAGGAAAAAAATGAACTCTAGCTGGACTGTACAGTTAAAAATTCTGGATTTTCTGGAGTGCACAGGCATATTCACTGATAATCCAGTAGTAAGACATCAGATAGGATGGGATGTAATGTAGATTGACTAACAAAAGCAACACAGAAGGCTTAATTTGTAACAACATCTTAATGATCCCTCAGATAAGAACTTAATGTCCCCATGGTGAGATACAATTTTCACCAATTTTCTTCTAAGGAAATATTTTTTGATCATTCTGTTAGCAATTTATTGGTAACAAGCAACATAAATTAATTTTTGTGGGTTTGATATGGAGGCAGGCTTGAGGGGTGGTTGGGTAAATGGAGACAATGGGGGAGGGAAGGTGACATTGGTGGTGGGATTAGTGTTGGAATACTGAATGCCATAACAAATCATCATTAGCCACTTTGTAAACCAGGGTGTTTAAGTAAAGTGTATGTGTGTGTTTGGGGGTGTGTGTGTGTAAAAAAAGATAAGTGGGAGTGCAGTGCTGCCCAGCAGGTCAACCTGTACCTGCAGGGTGAGTGCATCAGCAGTCTGATGGTGCCTTCTGACTTCTTGATACCCCCAAATTGCCACTATGCCTTTGGCCCGACCCCAACAACTTGGGACCAAGTTTCCCAAGAAATTAAATGGTCAAATGTTAGGTATGTGGGAGTCATGCCCACAAACCATTTCTGGTTCAGCTATACAAGTTCATTTATGGGCCTTGCTTCAGATATCCATAAATAAACTTCCAAAGAGAACAAAAGTAGACCATTTAAGTGCATTAACAGCCATGATTCAGAGACTTACAAATGGATCTCGTAGGAGAGCAGCATGCCACATAGATGTCTCCCCATGCCATTCCAAGTTGATTTCATATGGCAACTGGGGGGGGGGGGGGCAGGCATGTCCCTCAGCAGGTATGTCCCTCAGCCCCATATGAACCCTGGCAGCTGCAAACCTCCAGAGCCCAACTGCTGCCACGCTAATGGTCCGAGCTTCACAGGCTCGCCCCAAGCCCCCCACACATGAGAATAAATCTGCTGAAAAACCCAGGTATGTGGAACCAGTGACTGAAAAATACAGATTTCATGGAGTTGGGAATGGGCTACCTCCTCCCACCTCCTCGCATTTCTGCTTTCCTGGCAGTCATTCCCAAGAACTGTGTCTGGGCAACATTTGAGCATATTAATGGCTATGATTCAGAAACTCACGAATGAATCCTGGAAGAGAGCAGCACACCACAGATGTGCCTCCGCACCCAAATATTTAAAAATTTTAGAATTCCAGGAATGCACGGGTACTTTTGTGGCTGTGTGATACCTCATACTATTCATGGCAAGCAATACAAAGTAAATTATTTAGCATCTGCCTAAGGGGCAGGCTGGGGTGGCGGTGGGAAGATTCAAAGTAATGGTGGTGGGAAGGTGCAATGATGGTGGGATTGGTGTTGAAATAATGAATGTAAACAACTTTATGAAAAATTAAAGAATTTTTGAAAAAGTAATGCAGAGTTCATGTCTGCTTCAATCAGCTTAATCAATGGCTGAATGAACAGCAGTATTTCTACATAAAAGAAAAGATAAGTGATGTTATTATGGTGGTTCTGTAATAAGTCTAGAGGAGGCATGTCATGACAGGAGAGAAAAAGGAAAAAGGCTCTGTAGAAGAACAGGCCTTCCTACAAAAAGGTAATGATACAGTGACGGGATAAGGATATAACAGAATCAGTGACGCAAATGGATTTCATAATAGGACAAAAAGTGAACATCTGGCTGCTATTTCTAAGTGAAACTGAATGGTGCTATGTGGAAAGTGAGGCATGGTAAGTGTTGGGAGTTTCAAGAATGACAGTCTGGCTCATCTGAAGACGAGAGAGAGGGTAGATTTGGGGAAACTGTGAAATTTCTGTGAAGCCTGTGACCATATATTATGATCCACAACTTGTGTCATATGTCTAAAATCTTACTGTTAATAGTATTGTAAATCACAGGTTACAGATGAAAAAATAAAATGTTTAAAAAAATAAAGTAATGACATGCTGTGGGCAATGTGTTTCTCATTCTCCACATTCTGTTATTCTAGGGTCCAGCCAACAGAGTTCTTAGCTAGAGTGGAGTTCTGATTTTCATGTACCACTAAATACTTAAAAAAAAAAATTCTTTTTTAAAATTCCTATTTCTAAGACCATATAAAACTAGCTTTCACGTCAGTTTTAGTACTCAAGATTGCAGATGACTGACTGGCCTAGGAGTAGATTACTGTGAACCTCTAGGGCCACATTTGAAAGAATCATCTATATCTAGTCATGTAGTTTCTGTTTTACCCTAATGGCAATGGAAGGTCTCTGAAGAAGAGTCAGAGCAGTGATTATGTGATCAGATGATGTTTTGAGAAAGTAACTCTGGAAGGAGTACAAAGAACAAGATAAGAAGGGACAAAAGGATGGCTGGTTATGGAGGCAACAGTTAGAATCTGGGAATGGAAAGCTGAAGGCAAAGAAAATGCTTTCTTAAGCTTTAAAACAACCTCCCAAACTCCCTCCCAACCAACCTCTCTCCCAGCTTCTATCTCTCCCTCCCTCTCCCCTCCATAATCTTGAATTGACTAAGAATTTTTTGTTGTTTGTTTTTGGGTCATATCCAGCAATGAATGTTCAGGGTTACTCCTACCTCTGAACTCAGGAATTACATCTGGCAGTTCTTGGAAGATCTTATTGAATGCTGGGAATTAAACCCAGGCTGGCTGTGTGCAAGGCAAGTGCCCTACCTGCTCTACTAATGCTCCAGCCCCTTTCTGAGAAAATTTTGTGTGATTCAGGTATATAATTTATTAGTTAAATTTTAACTTAATAAAATTCAATTAATAAAATTTTTGTGGGATTCAGGTATATGGTTTTCAACAACAGCAACTGGAAATCATGGGGTAAACTACTGTAGTATGTACCAAAAAAAAAAAATTGGACGACTGTGGAAGATACAAGTCCCAAAAGTAGAGAAGTCATCAAGTGAATGAATGGGAAGGAATAAAGAAGAAGACTTAACCAAGGATGAGAGTAGGCTGTGTCTTGAATGTTGGGGTATCTGAAGCTATCCTCCCCAAAGTGGTAGCACATGTCAGGATGACCCAGAAAGAAATAATGTGGAGCTGGATTCTGGACATAATGATTTTGAGTGATTGTAGGGCAGCCATGCAGAAATGTCTGCAGAGAGCAATAATATAAGGAACATGCATATATGTAGAATCCCTCAAATTTTAGAAGAAGAGAGACCAGTCTGAAAAACTTGCTGTGTGGAATGGGAGAACCAGTCAGAAAACATATGTTATATCCATTACATTATTACTCCTTCTTAGTTATTTAGTAGTTTTAATAAGTTTTTTTAAGATAAAAAATTATTACCAAAAAAATGCCAGTAATAGTGATACAACATTCACACTCTGGGTTATTAAGTTTTTCTTTGTTGGTTAACTCTCACCCTCTACTACTGAATTCCAAAACACAAATATGAAAATGTTTGGAGAAAAGGGGACAGACTATGAGAGTGTTTAAGTAACTACAGCTCTTAATTTTTGGCAACACTTAGTGGTGCTCAGAGCCTACCTGGTTCTGCACTCCAGTGGTACTTGGGGAACCACATGAGGGGCCGGGGATCAAACCCTGAGAGGCCGCATGCAAGGCAAGCATCCTGCCTGCTGTACTATATTCAGCTCATAGGTTTAAATTTTTAACTGTTTTCTACGTGTGAAACAAACATAAAGGAACTTATAAACGATCTTATTGGCCTTACCAGCTGCTGTTCCACTGGTGGTGGCACATCCTGATTGGCATAAACGATGGCAGGATTGTAGAGACTGAAGACCACGGGGTAAAACACCTTCTTACCTAGAAATAAAAATATATGTTTGCATTACATAGAAAAGTCATAAAATGAAGGACTACTTATCTTTACTGCAATATTTATACAAACTTATTAAAATATTTATCATATATGATTCTGATAGTGTATTTTATCGATATTCAGGATATTGAATATCATGTTAATTCAATTAATGTATAATTTTATAACAGACCATGAATTTTATAAGTCAATATCAAACTATAAATGCAAAAGAACAGAGGAAACAATACAAAAGGGTCCTTCACAGGTGTATTTCCTTTAACTCTGGGAAGATGCTATTAGCTATTTATTTTTATTGTAGGTTTTTTGGGCCACGCCCAGCAATGCACAGGATTCTGCACTCAGGGTTCACACCTGGCAGGCTCAGGGGACCATACGGGTGTTGGAGATAGAATGAAGGTCGGTTATGTGCAAGACAAGCACCCCACCACTGTACTGTTGTTCTAGCCCCTATCAACCATTTATTACACGCTCAATTTATTTTTCAGTATTTAAATTTAAAATAGATGTATGTTAATTTATGACACTAACCAAGAAATTCAGGAACTTGTTAAATTCACCTTTCAAAGTAAACCACAGATGTGTAAAGCCTAATAATTGTACAATGAACATATTATATATAGAGAATAACTAACATATAGAAATTGAGAGGTAAACAAAAGTTTTAGAAGTAATAACCTCGACATACACTTGCCATTAGCATTCATAGTGATAGGAGTGAAAGGACCTTTCAGGCTAACCAGCCCATCTCTTCTAAATATAGAATCTTTTGCTACCATTGGTCTCAGATGAGATAATACGAAAGTGCTCAAAAGCTACCAAAGACCCCTAAGTATTTTTTCAGTCGTTTGATTAGAACAGCCACTACGAGTGCACATCTTTTTTTAATTAAAACCCACTAAGGAGGTCCAGGGAGATAGCTAAGAAGACCCCAAGTTTCAGTGCGGCACCACAAGGTCACCGCCTCCTATACCCCCATGTAGTCTGGTGGCCCCTGGGTCTCTCTTTGGACTGAGCAGCACATCATTGTTAGGCTACTGAATATTGTTAGTCCAAAATGAGGACTTTTGGGTAGAGAGTATGGAAGTCGACCCTGGAGAGGTTTCTCCCAGAAAAACATATACAAGGGGGGGGGGGACAGTCTCAGAGGTAAATTTATTTCAGATAAAAAAAATTTCTTTTAATTGAGCAAGTACATCTATCTCCTTTAACATCTACAGAACTTGGTATAACAAACTATACTTACTCTGCTCTTTAGAATTTGTAATTATCATCAAATTGATTTAACAAAGAGTTAATAACTTGTAAGAACAAATAATTCTACAAAAAATTTACTACAAAAATTTTAATTTTCTTTCAACATATACAATATTTTATAAAGTGTCATTTGCTCAGATATTTTCAAATAACATCTGCAATATGAGCAAAATATAGTAAATCATTCCAAAAAGAAAATTCTAAAGCCTTTTGTTCTAAATATAAGAAATATTTGTATTTACAACTCTGTGTACATGCATACGTGTGTGCCCCTATGTGTAACCTCTCCTGTAATATAGAGCAGATTCTCACAAAACTGTGCAGTTTGGCTCTTTTTTTGACAGGTGTTGTTTCCTCTTTGCTAATTTCAAGCCTTTATTTTTTGTGTATGTTTTCCTTTTTAATATTGGGATACACCTGGCAGAATTCAGGGCTTTCTCCTGGCAATGTGGTCAAGCATCATTCCTGGAGGTCAAGCTCGGAGGACCACATGGGATGCTGGAGACTAAACCGCTGGGTCAACAATGTGGAAGGCAAGCAAGCACCCTTCCCAGCCTCTCTTGTTTTTGTTTGAATTCAAATGCAGGCACTGGAATTTCGCCAGAAGGGGTATAGATTTCAGGTGGGTAAATTTTCACTTTTTTTTTACATTTTCGAGTTACATTATGACCAATGTAACTTGAGAAAATATTATTTAACTTGACTCAAAATATGGAATGTGATATAACCATTCTAAATTCTACACTCAGCTCTTCTACCACAATTTACGCACCTGGCTCAGCATTTAACCGGCAGCTGTTAAGGAATTCGGCTGAGAAATATATATCAACATCACAGAAAAACATCAAGACCTCTCCCTTGTCCCAAGCTCGGGCACCCACATTTAGTCCTCGTCCACGATTAAATTCTTCATTCAATGAGACCAACGTGTAATTGTGAAAATTAGACTCACTATGAGGAAAGCACATACAACAAATGATAAGTCCCACTTAAAGCTCAACAACTATTTTCCTTCAACACAACTTATTAAAAAAAATGGTTTATACTTCTACATTCATATAGAAAAAGAAATATGTTATTAGCTTCATGTGTACGTATTATCAGAATCAGATATTCACTAAATGTCTACATTTGAGGCAACCACTGGCAAAGGCCAGTGCCTTCAGAATTTTTTAAGTATATTGCGGAGATAATTTGCACGTGAAAAAATGACCACAATGTTTGGTACTAAATAATGCATTTCAAGTGAATGATACATGCAAAGAACACCTTTTTTTCAAGTTCCTTATGTCTTTGCTCAAATGTCCCCGTAACAGAAGGAAACCCATTTTAGCATCTGTGAAGTAGCTCTCATCGCCTTCTCTTTAATCTTTTCCCTGTGTACTATCAGTTCTGTCTGTCTGAGTGTCTCCATATCTGGAAAGTAAGCTCCATGAAGGCAAGGCTTTTGTTTACTAGTAAGGAAACAGTGTCCCTCATAGAATAGGAAATCAATAAATACTTGCCAAAGGAATGAACAGCATGTTGTTCTGAGATAAAATAAAAGATCACTTGTCCGGAATAGTTAGAGAAAATGTTATTTTTTGAAACAAAAATTATGTCTTGGTTAAAATCCTGAATTCAATGACAAGTATAAAGGTCATTTCAATTTATTATCAAAAGCAAAAAGGCAAAAAAGAACGTATTTCGGAGAAAAGGAATTGAACAAGCAAGATTAAGAGAATCCTAAAATGGAACAATGAAAGAGAGTGAGGCAAAGGAGTATCTTCCATGAGAAGTTAAAGAGCTTCGTCAATATCCTAAAGGCAAGAATTCAGGGTTTTTCCACCAGGGCATTGTGCTTACAGTGAAGTCCCCTCAGCGACAGCATCAGCTTTTCCTGGCAATGTGTCGGAAGTGCAAATTCTTAGACCCTAAACTCCTGAACCAGATGCTCGTGGTGGAGCGGAACATGTGTCTTAATAAGCCTCCAGGTTGTTGAAGCCGGACTGATGTTGAAGCCGGACTACAATAAATCTGTCATTGGGTAACGCCATTAAAAAAAAAACCATTTAGCAAGTTTATTCTTTAAAAAAGTATAAAACGGGAAATAGAGATGGACACAAAGGCTCAAAAAGTGCATGAAGTAAACTTTAAGAGCTCTGATCTTACGGGCTATAAATATCTTCATCTAGGGAGACTTTCTATCACTACCTCCTACTCCCCAAATCACGAGGAGAAACTAATAAAAATATCAGCCACAGTAATTTCCGAGGAGCAGGGCTGAGAATCAAGCTGAGGCAAATCATAATATCTCATTCCACCTTCCTAGGAGCAGGGATGAGAATCAAGCTAAGGCCAATCACAATATCTCATTCCACCTTCCCGTAGTGAATAGCTCACGAGTGGGCAAGTCTTCCCCTGGAATCCCCTTAACTCCAGTAGAAAGCTCATTCCTCTCTGCTAGCAAAGCAGATATCAGTGAGGAAGTCAATAGTTTTAAATAGCTTATGGCAGAAGCCAATCTGCAATATGAAAATGAAGACGACAAGCAAAGAAAAAACATAAGATGATAAAAATTTTGGTAAAATTCAAGTGTTTTATTTCAAATTTTTAGTTTTCTTCCTCATATTTGGCTGTAATAATTATTTGATTTGGGGAACTATCAATGATTTTTTGATAATTAACTTTCCTTAATTAAGTTCAAGATAGGTTTCTACTATTTGTCACAGAATACTGTTAGTGCAGGAAAAACTTTTGCAACACCAATGTGTGTGCTTGGCATTAAGTAGGTGATCTGAAAATGCTTTTAAAAAAAAGGAAGAAGGGAAGACATGGAACAAAGTGAAACTGGGTTGGGTGGTAGCAGCATGAAGAAGACAAAGAGGAGATCCTGTAGAGTACATAGGAACTGACTAATTAGGAGTAAAGAATGAGTGAAAGATGCTACTCGGAAACATCAAGCCGAAGAGATCATGAGTACAGTCTTAGTCCAGACTAAAAGAGGTTCATGAGGAGGAGAACTTAGTCTAGGAGGAGGGGAAGACACATTTTCCTTTTTTACACACCACTGCAACTTTCTTCTCTGTGTACAGTCCTACTCAACCACTCCAGAGTTCTGAGCAGTATACCAAGAACATGATGGGACTCTGTGACTCTTAAACGACTAGAGAAGAAAGGATGGCCAAAGCTGGACTCTTAGGAATGGCCACAACTAGCAGAAAGGTAAAGAAGCAAGTAAAGGATCAGAGTTGGTGTGTCAGAAAAAACAATCTATATTACATTATCACATATTTTATTTACAAAATATTTACACGTTACAAACATCAAAGGATTGTTTTGAGAAGGATGTTTATGTTAGGTTAAAGAAAGTAATTAAAGATTAATGGAAAACAAGCTAAATTAGTAGACAGGTGATAATTTTGAGTCATAACTTAAAGAGATTGAAAGATTGAGAAGATACATAATTAATCAAGGTATATAAAAATTACTAATTCATTCATTCAAACCTCTGAGAACCTACTATGTGCTAAGTACTATAAAAATTACTTTGTTAAAGTATAACTATACTGTGAAAGGGCAGAAATCTAACAGTAGTTACTGGGTATTACAGACTCAAGTTGGGTATTTTTCTTAGGATGGTGGTTGTACTGATAAACCTAAGTACGCATCATTTGCAGAGTGACAAGGAACTTAGAACAATGGAAGAAAAGAAAGGTGACAAGTAAAAGACAAGCTCAGGAGACACACTGAAGTGTAGGGACTGGATTTAGAAACAGGGCGAGTTCAACAGAAGGTTATGAAGAAGTAATAAATAGAGGTAAATATGTAGAATTTCAGAGGGCAAAAGAGTGAGAGTACCCTGATCATACAAGACTGTCAAAAGCTTAAGGGAGGATTAATCATTTAGGGTTACGGGTGAACCAAGGAATGAAATGAGAATCTTATTATCACTACTATACATGCTTTTCGAACTTTTAAACAGTAGTTACTTAAGATTATTCACTCGTTAAATATCTGAAATTTTCATTCTTCTGATGTTATATGTCAAGATCATCAAGAATGGCTCACCAACCTTGCGATGGATTCTAGGATAGACTTGACTTTAGCCAATCCTTCTTTACCAAAATACACCACAGTGAGATGAATTCGCTTGTCCTGATGAATACATACATCCCTAACAGAATGGGGAAATAAAGTTCGTTCAAGTAAATATATTAGAATGTTCATTCAGAAAGCAATCACATGAAACTTTAACAAAGAAGATAAATTACTTGTTACTTATTTTAAAAAATCACACCAAGTTTTAGAGCCTGGCAAGCTCCCTGACGTATTCGATATGCCAAACACAGTAACAACAAAGTCTCCAATGGAGACGTTACTGGGCCCGCTCGAGCATATCGATGATCAACGGGAGGGCCTTTACTTACTACTTTTAAGTTTTAAGCATAATAGCATTAACTTTGCTTAATTGTTAAACATATCACAGCAAACACATGATAATGACGATGTGTAAATGAAGATAACCATTGCAGGGCCACAAAAACAGTCTGTCCAACAATGTTGGCAAACTTCAAAATATTTTTTAAACTTTTCTCTAGAATGACCTTCAGAAGCAAATTTACAAACTACTGAAGAAAATAAGTAAAACTAGTTCAAAATTAAACAGTATTCAAGTTTTGTTTGTTTATTTTTAGGGCCACACCTGGCGATGGTGAGGGGCAACCCCTGACTCTGCTCAGGAATCACTTCTGGAGGTGCTCAGTGAATTATATGAGATGCTGGGGACTGAACCCAGGTTGGCCATATACAGGGCAAGCGTCCTACCCACTATACTATCTCTTCTGCTCCACAGTGTTAGATTTTTTTCTTGCTACGTATTTTTTAAATTATTGAATCACTGTTGAGATATAGTTACAAAGTTGTTTATGACTGAATTTCAGTCATGCAATGTCCCAACACCCATCTCTTCACCAGAACATTTCCCACCACCAATGTCCGCAGCTTCCCTCCACCCCTCCTGAGTAGAACTCCTGCAGCCTGCCTCTACTGCAGACACTTTTCTTCCCTCCTGGCTCCCTTTTTATTCACTGTGGTTTGCAATACTATATCTGAAAAGTTAGCATGCATTTCACTTCACCTTCTCTCAGTACCATGGTAAAAAACCTAGCCATAAGGGTGAGGGCTGGGGAACTTAGAACAGAACATAGAAGAGATGACTATGACAATGATTGTTGGAAATGAACACTCTGGAAAAGAACTGGGTACTGAGACGACTATGATAATGATTGTTGGAAATGAACACTCTGGAAAAGAACTGGGTACTGAAAGTATTCAAGTTTTTAAGAAGTACTTTGTCTTCAGATTGAGTAAAAAATTATAGTTATTGTCAGGAAGTATATATTTGCTACAACTAAAACGTCTTTTATAAAGAATGCAGCATCTGATGGCAATGATAAGAAAGGTGATAAAACATTTTAAGAAATCAGATCTCAAGCAATTTATTTCAAATAAGCAAAAATAATTTGGAAGTATGACTCCTAGATATTCTGGTACAGAACAACAACTAGATTTTAAATGCAACAATTTCAACATGAGTATAAGGACTATAACTTAGCACTTAAACTAGCAAGTCAAAGTATTTAAAACATGGAAATTGTTAAATTTATTTAATTTTAAAATGAAAAATTTTATTTTAAAATATTTATTTATTTTCCAACACCCATCAATTCAACAGTGTACGTTTCCCACCAACGTCCCCAGTTTCCCTCTCTCCCCATCCCTTGCCCTTCTCTGTGGCAGGTACTTTTTCTCTCTCTCTTCCTGGAGAGAGAACATGGTTCCATATCATGGCTGACAGGGCACCCTGAATATACAGTTATTAAAAGTTATGAAACCTCTATCTTTAAAATATGTTTATTGCACTGAAGGTAAATTATGCTCCAATAAATTTATTTATAAAAATTCTACTTATCCTGGAACAAATTTACACATAAATAATAAGTAATTTATAAAGGTCAGTTTCTAATAGATTGACTATCATTTTACTTCATGTTCAACACAATATACTATACATACTTCCTGAGAAAAAAAATGTTCCCCAAAGCTTATAAAAGTAGTCTATGAATTAATAGATATTTAAGCTAAGTGAAGATACTGTACCAAATTAGTAAGCCCTGAGTGTTACCTGAAGTTCTGCATGAACTGTGCAAATGTATCAGTTCTTTCAGCAAGTGGCACAATGATATTGATGACTGATCTAGTGATGTCAATCATCTCACTCTTTACTTTCATAAGCGGTCCAAATGGGCGGAAGAGGGTGACATGTCTATATTCCATAAGGTCTGCTTTCTTAAAAAAGAGTTCATACTGTGTGCCCTTATCTCTTTCAGTGCGATAATAACCTAAAGGAAAGAGTTAAGAACAAAGATTTACAAATTTAAAGTTCACAAATTCAACATGAATATTGCTTTTCTTAAAAATCCAAAATATGAAACCAGATTTACTGGGCTTTTAAGATCCCTATTTGTGAAAATAATTATCCAAGCTAATTGTTACTGGGGCTGGAGCAATGATACAGCATATAAGGCACCCGGGCGCCTTGCACACAGCAGACCTGGGTTTAATTCCAGGCATGACATATGGTCCCGAGTCTGCCTGGGGTCAAACTGACCCAAACAAAACAGAAAGTTAACTGTTCTGTTCTCTCTATATTATTCAATTCGTAGACTATGTTTCAAATGACTATTCTTTTTTACATGATATATTTATTTGAGGCCGCTCATGGTGATGCTCAGGAACTGGGGGCTCCTATAGGTAAAGCATGGGCTCCAGACATTTGAGTCACTGCCCTACCTAACTTACTTTGGTTTTTAAATGGTAGAACTGGGAGCTAGGAAGCTAACATAAGAATCAGGGTGCATGCTTTATATACATGGGGTCCCAGTTTGATTCCTGCACTGCAATGATCTCTCTCTTTAACCACCACCAGGTATAGCCCTGGAGGACCCCAAGTGTAGCCCTACTGACCGGCAAGTACTATGGGGTGACTTTGGTGTTATCCAGCACCATAGACCTAGAATTGCACTCTCCCTGCCTGGTTGGGCCAGGTTGCCTTCCTTGAACATTGCTTTAAATGCCCCTCCAGGGGCCACCAGAGCAATCGTGTAACAGGTAGGGTGTTTGTCTGTATGCAGCCAACCTTGGTTTAATCCCCAGCATCCCATATAGTCCCCTAAGCCAGACAGGAGTAATTCCTGAGTGCAGAGCTCTCAGTAACCATTGGGCATCACAAACAAAAGCAACAACAAAAGACCCTCCATCCCAGCCCCAGCCCCCAACAAATTAGTATAAATTAATAGTGGTAACTATTTGATGAAAATAAAGAAAACCTGATTTTTTCAAGCCATGCTCTCCCTTGAACATATATTTTGCTTGCCTATCTTGGTCTCTTTGCTAGCTTTTCCCAATCTGGAGAAGCCCGTTTTCTCTTGAACACTTCAATACCTCTCTTTCTCTCCTCTCACATTTTCCTAAATAAGTTTTGTTCAAAAAAACTATCTTGCTTCACTATTTTGTCTTCTCCTAAAGTTCTTTTCTATGAGGGAAAGGAAAGACCCCTAACACCTTTGCCAAGGTGGTTAGGACTGACTTTCCTTTTGTGAAAGAGCAATTCAGCCTGAGTCCACAGACTCCAAGAAATTGAGTGGCAGAACACACTACACACCCTCTAAGAGCACTACACCACATTTGGATGAATTTCAAAATAGGAGGCAACCAATCCTAGAGGAAAATATTTTTTTACAGCGCACAAAGCGCAACCTTTAACAACACGTCAGTGATCTCTTATAGAAGGGCTTAATGGCCCCTCGGTGAAATACAACAGTCTTCAACCTCTTTCTTTTAAGGATACTTTTTGGTAGCATTTTCAGTGGTTTTTCATAACAATACAAAATATATTATTTCGGTTCTGCTTTGGGGAAGGGATTGGGGTTTGGGATATGGTGGTGGGAAGTGTAATGGTGGTGAGATTGGTGTCTGAATATTAAATGTAATGAAATATTGTGAACTACTTTATCAAATAAAAAATATATCTAAAAAAAGAAATTGAATGACAGGGATTATTGCCACGCAGAACAAGTGGACATCTGGTGCAGCTTGATGAATGCCTCACAGGGACAGTGGGGCATGAAGATCTGTGCCAAGTAGGTGCTCATAGTAGACTTAGTCCTGATCTAGGCCAGGCATTTCCCAGCCACTGTGGCTGAGGTGGGTGGAGCAGAGGTAGAAACAATCTTTTCTCAAGACTATACCTCCCTTGCTCCCCACTTTACCAAGCCACTGGCAACTGAGGAAAGGTCACACTAGTCGTGGGACTGGTGTTGAACACTACATGCTTGAGATTCTATTATAAACAACTCTGGTAAGCATGGTACCTTAATAATAATAAAAAAAAGAAATAAGATTAAAAAACATAAAATAATACATTCCTTTTAGGGTTGGAGATATACCTTAAGTGGCAAGCATATGTCTTGCTAATGTGGCCCTGGTGACTTTCAAAAACCATCAAGGGTGTTCCCCCTTCTCCCCCCTCTCACATCAATAAATTATAGCTAGCAACATTAAACTCTAGACTTTAGTACCAGGAATTCTGCTCCATGACTTGGAGGTCAGCCACACGTTCTAGAGGAAAAGGAAGCTCAGATAGAGAAGGGGGTATCAAATAAAGGGTGTTGGGAGGATCCTCCCAGGATGGGAGAAGCATGCTGAAAGTAGACTATAGACTAAACATGATTGCCACTCAATGCCTCTCTTGCAATCCACAGGACCAAAAAAGGAGAGAGAGAGAACAAAAGGGAATGCCCTGCCACAGAGGCAGGGTGGGATGGAGGGACGGGGGGTGGGAGGGATGCTGGGACCTGTGGTGGTGGAGGATGGGCGCTGGTGGAGGGATGGGTACTTGATCATTGTATAACTGAAACCCAAGCACAAAAATTTGTAAGTCTATAACTGTACCTCATAGTGTTTCACTAATAATAATAAAAAAACTCTAGACTTTAACGTAAAAATTACTATTGCTCAGTTCAACTCAACAAAAATGAACTGAGTGTCTATTATTAGTCACTGGTGTTATAAACTGGGCTACCTGGTCCCAGTTTTGAGAGTCAATTTAGTGAGGGGTATAGGGAAATAAAGATATAAATAACTACAATACAGCGACACATAGATGCATACACAGAAATACAAAGGCACCCATACACACATACACTACATTCAGTAAGACAGAGACAAATCAGTGTAATACGCTTACTTGAAACATCTTTGGGAGCAAAGTATGGAAGTCAACCTTGAAATCTTTTTGGGGCTAGGGAGGTTTGGGCAATACCAGAAAGTGCCTGTGAGGCTTTGTGCTCTCAGGGATGCTTAGAGGACCACGTGGTGCTGGGGATCAAACAGGGGTCAGTGGCAAGCAAGGCAAGAGCATAGCCTTTCAGACTCTGGAAATAAGAGTCTTTTCTTGCAGGGGGAGGGGGTGAAAGACTACATTTGGCTGTGCTCAGGACTTACTACTTGTTCTGTGCTAAGTATCACTCCAAGAGTGATATATGTTGTGCCAGGGATTGAGCCCATGCCAACCATGTGTAAAACAAGCACCTTACCTACTTGCAATACTATCTCTCTGGTCTAGAAACATGACTTTAAGGTGTGACAATCAGGAGATTAGACCTGTAGTTCACTTTGAAAATATCTGGAAATAATATGAACAATAAAGACCTGGTCCCACTCTTCCTGAGGTTAATAGAAACTACAAAAAGAGAAAAGAGAAATACCATACAAATGCTATGTAAGGTTACCAGAATACAAAGAGAAACAAATATTATCTTAGATTTGCAGATTGGTAATAACTTCTCGGAAAAAAGTAACATCTAAGATGCAGTCTGGAAGTTTACTAAGAGTTACTCTGTCATTGTTGGTAGTAATTATTATTATTATTATTATTATTATTATTATTAACCCTCCGCCCTCTCGGAGAGCCCGGCAAGCTACCGAGAGTATCTCGCCTGCATGGCAAAGCCTGGCAAGCTACCCGTGATGTATTTGACATGGCAAACACAGTAACGAGTGTCACAATGGAGATATTACTGGGCCTGCTCGAGCAAAATTGATCAACAATGGGAGGACAGTGACAGTGACAGTGATTATTATTAACATTTTGGTGAAGGGAGTGGCACAAGGAAGGAAAAGTGAGGAGCAAAATATGTTCAGTGTAAATTCTATGATAGAATCCAAGGAGAGTTGAAGGTAAGCAGATATGAAGACAATGCACACTTTGGTCATCTTCCTCTGCAGTTTTCAATCCTACCATAGACTACAGAGATGAAAAGAGAAAAAGCTAAGTTTGCAGAAAAATAAGCATTTCTTCACAACACGATTCAACACAACAGGAAGTGACAGCAGGTAACTGGCTGCTATAAGAAGACAGCTGAAATGCTACAGAAAAACACAAAGCCTCCAAGGAGGTCCCCAAAGCAACCATGTAACCATGGGTTCTGTAGGGTAAAACAACAACAAAATACATGTGGTGTAAGTGTATGGTATAAAGAAGAAAAAAACTTAAGCAAGAATGGTTTTAGGTCTACAATTAAATATTTAGTAGCACTGCACTGTAGCACTGTCCTCCTGCTCATCAATTTGCTTGAGTGGGCACCAGTAACGTCTCCATTGTGAGACTTGTTGTTACTGTTTTTGGCATATCGAATATGCCACGGGGAGCTTGACAGGCTCTGCTGAGCGGGCGGGATACTCTCGGTAGCTTGCTGGGCTCTCGGAGAGGGACGGAGGAATCAAACCCAGGTCAGCCTCATGCAAGGCAAATACTCTACCCGCTGTGCTATCACTCCAACCCAAAACCAACCCAGGTTCGATTCCTTTGCCCCTCTCAGAGAGCCTGGCAAGCTAGGGAGAGTATCTCACCTGCACCGCAGAGCCTGGCAAGTTCCCCATGACGTGTTTGATATGCCAAAAACAGTAACAAGTCTCACAATGGAGATGCTACTGGTGTCTGCTTGAGCAAATCGATGAACAATAGGAGGACAGTGCTACATTAAGATAGAGACATATGGGGATGCAGAATGATTCTTGTTTGCATCAATAAGTGTTTTAAATTTGTATCATTGTTCAACTTTTAATACACATCCCATGTTTTGACATATAAAATGTTTATTTTTTTTGTATTAGCAAAACAGTTTATTTCTTTACTTTTTCAAATGCCAAATGTGCTTTTAAAAACTACCTATGCCTCCAAATGTCCTGACATGTGCTTCTCCTCCCTTCAAAATACAGAATAACAGTTAACAAAGTAAGTAAATTTCTCTTTCCTTTACCAAGTGGCTTCCAAATTGAGGTTTAGTTTGTATATTTTTTAAAATCTGAAAAAGAAACACACTGACTAGGTAACTGACCCATACAAACACATACACAAGCAAATATACGTACAAAGTCCAAAGAGTTCTTCACATCAGGTAATATTTCTCTACATAAGTTTCGATTTATTCTAGTTTCTTGATCTATATTCTCTATTTTGTTATGTTCACATTATAGGTTTTTCCAAAAGCCAATTTTAAATTTCTTGGTAGAATTCTTTAAATGTTTTAGCATTATGAATACTGTGTGTTTTTTTGTCACACCAAAATAACCATGGTGGAACACATTTTTTATCTTACCTTCTATGAAGTCATTTTCATTAAATATCAATTTCTCTCCAAGGGGACCATCCTCATCTTCCTGCTCATCATCTTCATCAGGATTATTAATAACCTCTAGGCCGGCTTCAATAACTTCCACCAATTCATCTCGCTTATCTTTTCTAACTGGCTTTTCCTCAGGATGGCGAGTGAGGCCCATTTCCAACTGAAATACTTTCGTTAATGTAAAACTTTCAAAGGGAACGACCCCATACTCACTAGGTAGTTTGGTTCCTATGCTAACTTCAGCTTTGTCAATTTGGGAATGAAGAAATTCCAAAAGATCACTAGGGGCTTGTTCTTTATTGCCATGATAGCTGATGCCATTAGGTCCTATATTCCTTCTCTCTTGGAGTGATTTCATCTTCTCACTCATTTCCTGTAATTCTTGTTTCAGTTGGGCAATTTGGCGTTTCAGACTGGTTGCCTTAGTTTGATAATGTTCTTCTTGCTCCTGTAAGAGGGCTTGATAATATTCTTTGCCATAATTTTCTCCAATAACACCAGGAAGAGAAGCATTTCCATCAGTCTGGGGGGCACATTCCAGAAGGTACAAGAGTAATACCAAGCTGCAGAGTAAAGCAAGACCCAATAACAGCCAGTGGGTCCGAGTCTGAAGGATTAATCCTTTTCTAGGCATTCTTATTAATGTGGCGTTGTCTAAAGCGGTAAGTTCTTTGCTTGTTCATAACGTAATAAGAAAGGTTACAGAAAATCAAAAGCAAATCAGGATTCTCATAGACGATATTGAAATTAATTCTTCTGTAGTTGAAATTTTCTACCTTTAGCAGTCAAAACAACTTGCATAAGAAATATTCTGAATCAAGAAATCTGGTCTAAAGGGTCAGATAAAATTCCATTATACAAGTGTTGTCTTTTCTGAAAAAAAAAAAAAAAGATGAGAATTAATTAGAATTTTGTCTTAAGTATATCAAAGTTGTTGTTGGCAGCTTTAGTAAACTTAGCTCTCTGACTGCTATACATACAACACTATGAAAGGACCAATACAATTTAGCCTATTTAGTAGATACTAGGGCTGGAGTGATAGCACAGCAGTAGGGCATTTGCCTTGCACGAGGCCGACCTGGCTGAGCTGGGTTTGATTCCTCCGCCCCTCTTGGAGAGTCTGGCAAGCTACCCGTGATGTATTTGATATGCCAAACACAGTAATAACAAGTCTCACAACGGAGACGTTACTGGGCCCGCTTGACCAAATCAATGAACAACTGCAGTGCAGTGCAGTGCAGTAGATGCTAGGAAAAGGTATTAAGAAAAGTGTCATACAAAAACACCAAAATATCATACATAATACTCGTAACTAGAATGTCAACACATCTGTAACCTCAATGGATCAAAGAAATGTTAGAAGTTATGTTTAGGGTAGTTTTGTGTTAATATCTACTGTCCCTGGTGCCAGAGAGAGAGTATATGGGTTAAGATACTTGCTTTGCATGCGGCTGACACAGTTCAAACCCCAGAGCCACAAAAGGTCTCTGAGAACCACCAGGAGTGATCCCTAAGCACAGAGCCAGAAGTAAGCCTTGAGTACACAGTGGAGCCTCAAAACAATAAATAAATAGGGGTTGAATGATAGTACAGTGGGTAGGGTGTTTGCCTTGCACATGGAAGACCCAGGTTCAATTTCCTTCATCCCATATATGGTCTCCCAAACACTGGTAGGAGTAATTCCTGAATGCAGACCCAGCAGTGATCTCTGAGCATCCCTGGATGTGGCCCAAATACCCCATAAAAATAATAAGTAAATTCCATTGGTATTGATAGAAAAATTCTCTCTCCTTAAACTCTTTATTAATGTAATATTCCAATTAACACATCACTGCTTATCTATGGGATCTATTTGGAGTAGCTTTCTTCCAGTTTACTGAAGCATTCTACATCATTAATTTTCTATGATTTAACTTAGTCAATCTAAAGAGCCTTTAAATTAAGCGGGGACTTGGGTGGGGGACCGGGAGATAGCTCAAGGGGCAAACATGTCTAGCATGTGAAAAGCTGTGAGTTCAGGCCTGAGTTCATGCCCCCCATCTGTTAGCATAGCTGGAAGTGGCCCTGAGTAGCCCCAGCCTACAACACCCCACCCCCTCCAGCACCACTGGGTGTGGTATCTATAAAAAAAATTAAGTGGGAATAAAAACAATTTTAAAAAGTCAGACATCTGGAAAACATTAAACATTAAACAGTTCTACATCCAAAATCCTCCAGTAGATTTTTTGAGCATTAGATCACATAATTCTTTCCACTGTATTACACAGCAATAGATTTACACATCCAAAAAAATTCTGGTGTCTATATTCAGACTAAAAGAACACTTTAATATCTGCAGAGAAAAAAATCTTTAAAACCACTTATAAAATTAAATTTCATGCTAACATTCATATTAAAACCAGTTGTATGACTTCATGATTTTTCTTGTTTTTTCTAAACTAAGACTCATAACTTTAGAAATACAGGATTAAAACACAGGAGGGGTAAGAACCATAATAGGCCTTCAATGCAGAGAGAACTTCCATTTAAGAAACTGTTTGTCAGGTATGTGATACTATAATAGGCTTTTCACAGACAAGGTTTATACAAATGCAACAGAACCTGTGGAAGAAGATCTTTAGGGAACATCAGACCTAGTCACACCTAGTGATTAGAAAAGTGTCACTGTCTTTGGTGAAATATACTGTGGTATGTTTCTTGTGGCACACATCTATCTAAAGTGTATGAAGATCCAAACTCAAGATTTGTAGGCCACAAACAATGGACTTAACTACTCTTAGTGTCAATACTTCAGTGAACTAAATGATAACCAAGTATTATCAATTTTTTGATTGAATCATCATGAGATAAACAGTTATGAAACTGTTCATGACTGATTTCAGTCATTCAATGTTTCAACACCCATCCTTCACCAATGTCCTCCAGTTTTCCTCCTCCCTTCCCATCTCTATTCTCTCTCTCTCTCCCTCCGTCTCTATTATTTAACTTTCAAACAACACCTGTCAAGCCAGGAGGAAACCCTTAGCATAGCCCCAAGCAAACAAAATATCTTCTTTCAGTGATATAGAAAAAAAAAAAGGATTATACTTTGGGGGGGGGGGAGTGTTGGGCCAGACCTGACAGTGCTTTGGGGTCACTTTTGGCGCTGCTCAAAGGACTGTATGCAGTGCTGGAGATTAAATCAGGATCAGACACATATAAGCAAGTGCCTTAACCCCTAAATCATCTCTCTGGCCGAAGAATTATGCTTTTAAGAAACACTATCTAGTTAGAAAAAAATATGCAAAGCTATTATTAGTTCTAGGAGTTTGCCATGATTTTAAACCATAATTCTTAACATAAGAAACTATATGAATTTTGTTTTTTAAAAGATAAAACTCGAGATTTTTCTTTTAACTATGATACTACTGGTCCACTTATTAGATACTAACACTGAAAATGTAGAGATATAATTATGTATAGTCTATGTAGTAAGTGTAGGTAATGCAAACCATCTCATGCATACAAGGCATACAATACTTTATAGTAAAGTATTGTATGGTAAAGTACTTTATGGTAAAGTATTGTTTACCTTGTGTGCATGAGATAGTTTACACTGAGTAACACCCCTGGCTCTAAACAATGAATTTTAAATTCTTAGTCAGAAATCCATTAATGGATTAATAACCATAAGTTTACTTTTCAGTGAAACCAAAAAATGTTTATCACATACAGTCATAAGATTTGTGTTGAAGTTTTATATATGTAAACATGAGATTTCACATGCAATGTATTTGGGTTTGTGGTCCCTAAAATTTGAAAACTACTGATTCAGAAAGTATCATTATGTATTTCCCATGCCACCCATCCAGAAGTGTAGTTATTGGCTTCATCTTTATAGGAAAAATGGAATTCAAAATGAAAGAATCTAAATCAGTTTATATAACTATAAATAGAAGCACTAAAGCTGGCTTTCTCTGTCCCTTAAGCAACATGCAGGTCTTGAGATATTTTACATGCTTATTATAGAGCTAAATATTATTTAGTGAAATTTTAAGAAGTTGCTGTAATAATTTTTTAGAATATGTAAATTGCATAGCTCTGTGGTTGTTAAAAGTAAAAGATTTATCCAATGTTATTTCCATCAAAATTCCTATGGAATTTTTGAAGGACATAGAACAAATACTTCTAAAATTTGTATGGAATTATAAAACTCCCAAAATAGACAAAAGAACTAACAAAAAAAAAGGGAAGAATTGCATTCCCAGACTTTAATCTGTACTACCAAGCAATAGTAATCAAGTCAGAGTGGTACTGAAACAAAGAGACTCTCAGATCAATCTCGAGAACCCAGAGATAAACCCTCAAGCATATGGATAGTTAATTTCAACAAAGGGGCTAGGTGCATGAATGGAGAAAGGAGAGTCTATCCAACAAATGGTAGCCACATTAAAAAAAAAAATAGAGCCCATCTCACACTGTACACAAAAGTTCATTCAAAATGTAATAAATATCTTGATATAAAACCTTTTCATACTTTATTATTTATTGGGGTGTGGGGTTGTACCACAACCAATGATGCTCAGGGGTCACTCCTGGCTCTGCACTTAGAAACCACAGCTGGTGGTGTTCAGGGGATTAGACAGGATGCCAGAGATGAAACCTGGATCGGCTGTATGCAGAACAAGTGCCCCACCAGTTGTACTGGCCCTCAAACCAATGTTTATAAAATACACTGAGGAAAATACAGGCAGAACTCTCCAAAATCTCAACTTCAGAGTAATTTTCAATGACACAACCCAATTGGCAAAGAAAACAAAAGCATAAAAATCAAATGGACATCAAACTAAAAAAATGAGGCCTAAAATAAAGACACCCCACTTAATAGGAAAAATTATTTACAAATTACATATATATTTTAATACCCAAAATATAAAATAATATTTTGAATATACTAATACAGTGATATACCAATAATATAATAATGTCATACTTAATAATACTGAATGAAACTGGTAATAATCACAGTGGTCCCTGGAGTGATAAAAAACAAGGAACTGCCTTAGCTTCCAGGAAAGAATAGAATAAGTAGGGGAACCAGAGAGTCCCAGAGAAGGAGCTAAAAATATGTGGAGACCATGAAACCTAGGTTCTAAGGATAGAATAGGAGAAGAGAGATGCACTGAGAAAAATGCAAAAAATATAAAGAAGGTACTCTTTGGGTATTCAGCACACTCCTAGTCAGTGTGGGCATATGAAGACACTTACTGATGCTAAGGAAAGAACACTACTCACACACACACACACACACACACACACACACACACACACACCCCAGAAAACACAGAACTCAGTATTCTTTCATGGCCAGAAATAGTGCATGTTCCCACCGAACAGACAGGAAAACCTCAAAATTCATGGGGCATTGGCTAGAGTATTCAAAAATGTCTTACTTTAGTAGTGAGAGAAATTTAGCTCTAGACTAAACATGGCTCTGGTCCTGCTTAACAAATCTTAAAATTTGCCTAACCCATCCAGATAGGAAAAGAAGATGCCAAGCTCTTACTACTTGCAGATGACATGATACTGTACTTAGAGGACCCTAACCCTCTACCAAAAAGCTCCTAGAAACAATAGATTTTTATAGTAAAATGGCAGGTTACAAAATCAATACCCAAAAGTCCATGACTTTCCTATGTGAAAATAATGAAAGAGAAGAAAGTGATATTAAATAACAATCCCATTCACAATTATGTCTCAGAAATCAATTGCCTCAGAATCAGCTTAACTAAGAAGGTAAAGGACCTGTACAAAGAAAACTACAAAACACTACTTCAAGAAATAAAAGAGGACAAAAAGAAATGGAGACACATACCCTGCTCATGGATTGGGGA